GACAAAAACACTCCCACCCAACCACAGTGCCAGATTTCGGCCACCATCGCCGAAATCTGGTCGAAATCTGGCGTTATGGTGCACGACCGGTCGAATCTGGCCGGTCGTGTGCCAATCTTGCATTTTTCGGCCAGATCCACCACATATCTGACCGGAAAAAGCCAAATCTGTGGCCAGATATAGCTGTCGACGATCGAAAAAGGCCAGATATAGCCGTCAGTGACGGTTGACCGTCAACGACGGCCATTTCTTTAGTCGTGGCTGACGACTAGTTCTTGCCTTTTCTGACCAGATCGACGCATTATCGGCTGGTAGTGCACCATTGTGATAGATTCCAACCACCACTGACGATGGTTGCCGGAATCTGGCAACTATGGGTAGATGAGAGTGTTTTTGTTAATTTATAAATTTTTTTGTTGGGGGTGTTTTTGTCAATTAACAAACCTAGGGGGTTTAAGAAGTTTTTTAATTTAGAATAGGATTTTGAAAATAAGAAAACAAACGTGCATTTGTATTTGGAATAGGGACAGAATAGTGATAAGTTTTCTTAGTTTTTAACTTAAAAATAGAATCTGAATACTATATTAAATATATTTTCAAATATAAATATATTAAAATTTAATTAAAAAATTTTAATCCTATTTTAATTTTTAAAAATAATTTTAAATCAAACTAAAATATACTAAATACCAACACAACAGAGATGGTTTATATTGATCAACAATAAACTTTAACGTTTTTAAAATAAAGGGAATATTTTAATGTAATCGAATTTTGTTTTACTAAATTATTAAACTTCGAAAAATGCTTCTAAAATATAACAAAAATCTAGTAGAAATTCACAGAATGACACGGCACTGTAGAGGTGGAAAAGTGGTCCTACCTCCCCCATCCTGTGTTCGGCCTAAGCAATTTGTGGGTCGGGTTGGGTCGGCCCCACCAAAAAGAGGTAGGTCGGGTTAGGCCCGCCTAACTCGGCCCGATAACCCTAGCCCCACGGGTTTTTGTGTGGGTCGGATCGGGCTGACCCACCCAAAAAATTTAATTTTTGTTTTTGTTTTTTTCATTGTTTTAAAACCCAGCCCGGCCCAGCCGGTTGAACCTGGACCCGGTAGCTTCAACAGGTCGGGTTTAACTTTTCCGATTCACCCCCAAACCCTAAGATTTGGGAGGATGATCGGCGAACAATCGATGGTCGGAAGGTTAGGGCTTTTGAAGACAAAGGTCCGGTGAATACAATGGTGGTGGCATCGTTGATTTCCGGTGAGTAAATCGACCGGAAATCGAAGAAACTTGGCAGCGGCAACAATGGGACTTTTTCGGCGATTGGCTAGGCTAACGGGGGTCGGGTGAGGTGGGTTTTGTTCAGGAGGAATAACGGAGTAATTCCTGAGTGATGGGGAGGTTTGTAGGCGCCGGCGTGGATGAGATCTGGCCTGGAATACCCACGCCGGCGTTGGTGAGATCTGGCCGAAATCGAACCTATTTCGGCCAGATCTTGGATAGATTTTAATGGAAATAGGCTCAGGGGAAGATTGGGGTTGCATCTGGGGTGTCGCCGTTGCCAATCAGTCGCCGGTCGATTTTCAGTTGGGGTGTGTTTGAGAAAGTTCAAACATGTAGGACTTGAAGGTAATTTTCAGGGGTGTATTTGTTGAGTTTTAAAATTTGTAGCGGTCAAACCGGTCAACCCGGGACACGAAAACTTTACCGGGTTTCACCCCGGGTTGGGTTTTAAAACATTGGTTTTTTTGATGTTTTTGGCTTTTGTGTAATTTTTTTTAGTTAACTTTTCAAATATTAATTTAATTAAAATTTTTTATAGTTAACATTTCAAATATTAATTTAATTTTAATATAATTAAATTGTAATATAAGAAAAATTAGATTTATTCATTTATCAAAAAATAAAATAAGAAATTACAATAATTATTGCCTCGTTAAAAACCTTATCAAGAAAAACTCAATTGAGACAAAAACTTGGTAAAGAAAAAAAGTGCAATAATTGACAGCTAATTTATAAATTACAAAATTACAATTGATAAATTTGGGGGTGGTTGACTAAGACCTCCCTCATCTGTATCATCTAAATTACAAAATTGAAATGATTCTATTAAAGTATCATCGATAACCTCATATTGATCCTGATGGCGCGACCGTTCCCAATCTCGAAGACATGTGAGGATTTCAATCAATTTTGGTGAAAGTTTAGTCCTCCTTTCATTTAAAATTCTTCCACTTGCACTAAATATTTGTTCGGATGAGACGGTTGAGACAGGAACAGAGAAAACATCAAGGGCAAGTCTTGATAGTACCGGAAAAATACATTTTCTGATTTTCCAATATTCTAAGACATCAAAGTTGGCTCTTTGTTGTGGATCTACTGGTAGCAAGTCAGGGGTTCTCAAATATTGGTGAAGCTCATTACTCTGCAGTTGCATGGAGGACATTATATTCGTTGTTGATGCTTCTGAAGGGAATGCTGTGCTTCGGGTTCGGGTCTTCTTCCGCCTATTAAATGCACTCCAGGAGTTGAAATCTTCTTTTGTGTCTTCTATTGGTACTTCCTCGGGTATTGCGCATCTTTGCTGGTTCCCATACCTGCTTTCATATTGCAAATATATCTCTCCAAGACATTGTCTTATCTCTTCTAATTGATTGGCATACGCTCCTTCTTGCAAATTTTCACTTAACGTGTCTAAACCATTTTCTAAACCCGTGAATTTAATCCTAGGATCAAATATGGCAGCTAAACAAAAAAGAAAAGGAATGGGTTTCCAATATTTTTTAAATTTTAATTCCATTGCTTCTATTGGTCCCGCTAAAATTTTATTGTTTCTGTTTTGAGCAAATAAATTTGAAATTTTTAAAATTGTATGTATTATCAATGGACTAGTAGGATAATACACTTCAGAAAGTTTTAAAGTGGCAACATAAAAAGTTTTAAGAAAAGAATGAAATTTTTGAGCTATATGCCAATCACTCTCTACCAAAAAATGAGGACTCCTTTTATTTGCTACAAAATAACTAATTAAATTTGCATAAGGTAAACATGAATCAAGCATTAAATAAGTACTATTCCATCTACCTGGCATGTCTAATGCAAAAGTTTTAGGAGACAAATTTGAAGTTTTACAAGCATCTTTAAATTCAGAATTTCTTTTATTACTACTAGTAATCCAAGCTAAACAATCTCTAATTCTATCAATATTATTTCTAATTCTTTTCATACCACTTTTTACAATTAAATTAATAATGTCACATGCACAACGTTGGTGAAAAAACTTCAAATTGTCATAAAAAGGAAAATTTAGTTTTAAAAAATCTACAACTCTACGGTTAGCGCTTGCATTATCTAAAGTTAGACTTATTACTTTGTTAACCAAATCATATTCTTCTAAAACTTCAACAATTTTAAAATAAATTTGTTGACCACTATGATCTACATCCATTAATTTAAATCCTAATAAAGATTTATTTAATTTACATTTGTTATCAAAATAGTGACTAGTCACACAAATATAATCTTGTTTAACTCTACCACTCCAAATATCAACGGTTAAAGCCACCTTAACATGACAACTATGTATTTTATTTCTTAATTCTAATTTCATTTTGTTAAATAACTTTATTAAATCATTCTTAGTTGTAGTTTTAGAATAAGTTTTAAATTCCGGTAAAAATGAATTTTTAATAAATCTTTCAAAATATTTATCTTGAGCCATATTAATAGGCTGATCAGTTGCAACAATATATAAAGCTAATTGTTCCCTATATACATCAGAATTATAACGCCAAGTATTACCCATACTAACTATTTGAGTTTGATTGGTTTGTATATATCCATGATGATTTATATGTTTATCTGCATGCATTTTTAAAGTACTAATATCATTACCTGCATCAGCTTTATAAATATTTCCACAATACTTGCATATTGCTTTCTTCACTTGAACTCCATTTTTTGTCTCGTAAAACTCTACGAAATGCATCGAAACGTTTGATGTGTGCTTGTCGTCAGTTTCGGTAGCTGCAGTTGATGAACCCACTTCTACTGCATATGGAGTTGGGTGAAGACAACGATTACGGGAACGACCTTTAGAACCACTGGGAGTTGTAGCAACATGGAGAGGAAGTGGGGAAATATTATAAGGTGTATCAGATGAATCTACTACATTTGTGTCAGTAAATTCAGGGGGATTAGGATAATTTTCTTCATCATTGAAATTGATGGTGGGATTATGGAAATATCTATCCATTCTAGTTATAAAAAAAAAAAAAAAATTGGTTATAAAAGAATTAAAGAAAGAGAATTAGAATTTGGAAATATGAATTAAAAATTACAAAAAGTAATAAAAATTAAAATGAAAGCAAAATGACAACAAAGATTTGAGAGATTTTTAAAGCAAGAGCAATTGAAGAAAATTAGAGAATTTTGGATGTGAAGAAATATAAGAAGTTTAGGCCTTATTTATAGAGAAAAATGGAAAAAGAAAATGACAAAAAAACCTCTCCAACGACTATAAAACAACTATATTTGAAGGGTAAAATTGGTTTTTTAATTTTTTTTTCTGGTCTCCAACCAGCCGGGTTGCCCGTTGGCAGCCCAACAGCCAACCCGCCGGGTTGCCCGTTGGAAGCCGCGGGCCAACCCGCTGGGCTCGACAGGTTTTTTTTAAAAAGAAAAAAATCAACATATAATTTAAAATAGTAATAAACTCCTAAGTCCTAACAGCATAATTACGTAGCCCCACCACCACGTGGCAAAGCTGCCCCACTTATATTTCAGCTTTCGCTTCACAAATTTTTCTTGCACAAACAAACTTTCAGAACTGTTATTATTTATTTTTTAATTGATATTTTGTCCTCAGCCAGCCTTCAAGTTGANACTCCTAAGTCCTAACAGCATGATTACGTAGCCCCACTACCACGTGGCAAAGCTGCCCCACTTATATTTCAGCTTTCGCTTCACAAATTTTTCTTGCACAAACAAAATTTCAGAACTGTTATTTATTTATTTTTTAATTGATATTTTGTCCTCAGCCAGCCTTCAAGTTGAAGATTTCTGCCCTTTCTTGTAACATTTCTTTCACTTTTTGACGAAATCTCAATCTCAGATCACAAACAATCACAATTTCCAACTGTTCAATCACTCAATATTGTGTTTCGCTTCCAAATTTCACCCTCAATTTCGGATGAAATTTAGGGTTTTCAAATACGATTCTTGCATGCTTGTCTCACTGTCGGAATTGAATTCGAATCTAGGGCTTTCGAATTGCAATTGTCATTAAATAATAGGTACGGCTTCTAGGAAAAATATATAATATGTATATTTCTTTTATTAATTATATAATATAATTTGTTTATTTGTAAAACAACTATTGTTCGTGGCTGATGGCATCTGAAGGAACTAAAAAACTTTCGTCTTGTTTTTGGAAGAATCAAGCTAAGGTCTAGTTTTGCTTATTATTTAATTTTATATTTTTTAATTTAAAGTTGTTTTTTTTTTTATTATTATTTGAAAAGGTCAACGTATTGGCGGTGAATGTTGAGGCTGCATTGGGCACTACTATAAACTGGAGTTACAATAGCGATGTTGGGTCTCAATCGAATTGGCTTCAAAATAATTAGTTGTTTCTTTCATTTGGCGGAGTGGCATCCACTAGAATAGCAAAGTTGATTTGGGCTTAAAAGCCCTCTTGCTTTGTCTTCTCCTTAGATCAGGTTTGAATTTTATCTCTTTTATTTATGTGGGTTGATTTTACTTGTAAGTGATACTCTTTTTTCTATTTGTTTGTGTGATGAATAAGAAACCCAGAATACCCATTGGAGTATTGGTCTTCTGCGTTCAAATCTTTTTTTTTTTTTTTTTCGCTCATTCATGATTCTGGATGAAAAATGTGAAAATCCCATCTAATGAGTATTCTACCATTTAATAATTTTGATTTTGTGTTATGTGACAATTATATAAACTTATATGCTAATTCAGCTTAGGTGGCTATTTTTTGTAAGGCGGTATTGATTGTTTATTGACACAACGGTTTGTCTATTTGCAGCTTTTGGGATCACTTTTTTATTCTCTTTGGTGGCTGGGAGTTGTAATAGTTGTTCTAAGATTATTGAAGTTTTTCATGTTTAATAAGAGCTCCTACTCTTGGGTGAGAGCTATGGGTTGTTGTGGTTGTTTCGGGTTTTCCAAAAGAAAGCCTAAACAATCATTGAGGCCCATTCCTGGGTTTAATAATCGAATTTCCCAAGAGTTTTTGTTAGAGGATGAAATAGACGATGAGACTGATAGTTTGTTTAATGGTGAGGATACGAATACAGCACATGGAGATGATGGCGAGTTGCAGAACTGTGCCAAACGCTCTGAAGAGATTTTGAGGTTAAGAGTGCAGAATGGACTGGTTTGCAGGCAATATCCTGTCAAGGAAACTAACAAACTTATTCGATCAGAGGTAAGTTTATAATAAAGTTAAAGTGGGACTTTTTGCAAACTTATTTATGATGCTATATTCTATTTATGGTTGAGTATGATGATTCGTTATCTTTGTACTGAATATAACTTGATTATTAAGAAATCTGGCAACTGTATAACTATCATGCATCCGGCATTGTAGTACTTCTGATAGTTGTTTCAGATACAATATGGTTGCACACTGGCTACAAGATCAGTCATTTTCTTATCTTGTTGTTGTCAACAGTTGATGATTTGATAAATTTTAGTGGTTTTGCTGTGTATAGTTGTTGTATACAGTTATAATAAATCCCTATTGGTTGTTGCTCTTGTTAGGTTGTTAGTTACAGCTAGTTCATTCTCGCTATAAATTTGAATTTAATGCTTGGTAGCTAAGGCAACATTTAAGCAGATTTTCCGATCAGTTTTCTCATACTTTGTTGCTTCCCAGATTTTTTTTCTTTTTTGTGCTTTATGTTCAGGATGATTTGAGGTTTTGCTTGTTTTTGTGAATTAATTCAGTCTAATTAAAGTTTAAGGGTGAATTTACTGAAGAAGGTCGTATGTCCCACAGTGGTTGTCTTACAGATGGAATTCCATGTGTAGGAGTCCTTAAATTTTGTATTTGCTTCCATAATGTTTTACTAAGATTTTATATATGTATTGCATTTTTTTAGGATGAAAACGGGACTAAGATGATCAATGAGTATGTGCATGAGCGCAAGATTGGTGCTGGTAGCTATGGTAAAGTGGTAAGCATTGATTTGACAGACATTAAGCTGTATTTCTTGCTTTAAGGATTTTCTTAAGTCTTCTGGCCTTGCTTCTGCAACAGGTTCTATACCAAAGCTCTATAGATGGGAAGCATTATGCAATTAAGGTACTGCTTTTTTGCCTTCTATGGAGAGGCATTCGTGTTTTGGGGCAGAGCAGTAGTTTAGTGAAAATCTTCAGGATTTATCTGAAAATAATATGGTGGAATATAGCGTTTTTCAGTCCTGTGACTTTCATTTAGTTATTAGGATCTGCAAATTAAATGGTGTTTAGTGTTTTCTTGATTATGTAGAAGCTTATACCAAAACAAGGTTTATCTTTCTTATCGTGCAAATTTTATATTTGAACTCCAGGCCTTTCATAAGTCTCATTTGTTAAAGCTACGTGTTGCTCCTTCAGAGACTGCTATGACTGATGTTCTTCGTGAGGTATCTGCTTTTTTTCTTCTCTTTTGAGCTTTTACAGTCTAGACCATATAGAAAGACATTGCATTGTTGCTAATTTTTTATATGCTTGTACTGAAATTTTCTGTTGTATATGTTCTTGATATAGAATATCCTCCCTGAGGTTCTTGATGCTTCTGCTTAGTCAACAAGTGCTTGTAGATCAGGCTAAAATTTGGCTTATTTATACTACAAGTGCTTATGCTTATCATTATAATAGACACTCTATGATGCTTTGGCTCTTTATCTTTGTTTTTATCGTAGATGAAACTTTTCTAATATTTAATTCCTATCCTTGCAGGTTCTAATAATGAAAATGTTGGACCATCCAAATATAGTCAATCTCATTGAGGTGATTGATGATCCAAACACAGATCAGTTCTACATGGGTATTTATTTCCTTTTGCTTTCTCTCACTTATTTTTTTCCCTTTGATTAACAATTTCACTTCCAACTTTTATATTTGATTATTGCATTGAAGTCTTAGTATGAAAAAATATTCAGTTACCTTAATTGTTCTGTTATCCTTATGCTTGACTGGAAACTTTTCCTAACTTCTTTCCTCCAGTTCTTGAATATGTGGAAAGCAAAGGGGATTGTGGTGGTTCTGCTCTACCTGGGGCCCTTGAAGAAGATACTGCCAGAAAGTACTTACGGGATGTAGTCTCTGGGCTGATGTACCTTCATGCTCATGTAAGCTTTCGAAAGCCTTAATTTTGCGTCATTAATTCTTGGACTCTGTGTGTGCCTGCAGCTGGATATGTATTTGTATGGAGCAATGTTGGTTATTACATCAATGTTTGCCATTTATTTAATGGAGGTATATGTGGTAGACCATTATATAGAAGGTTGCTGGCTATCTAGTACCGTGATGTTTCATATATGCCCACAAATATTTACATATGCACCATTTGTTTTTGCATTTTATTATACATTCACCTCAATTTATAAGATTTGAAAAGTTGTAGATTTTTCTCTAAAAAGTGAGTTTCAAGGCGAACCATGTGAAAATAGCTTATGGTCACAATCTTAATCAATTTGCTATGGGACCAGAGCAGTCTTGCGAGATGTATGGCATTGGCTTGTGCTTATGTACCATTGTTGTATTTTTGTCTTTTGAGGTGTATTCAGAAAATTGGTAATTTGCTTGTATATATTTCTTTCCTCATCTTCCACTTTACATCTAGTATTTTGTAGAATAGTTTAGTTGATTAGTGATTCCAGCTAACTGTGTGTAGTCTACCATGTGTGGTGCCAATAATACTAAATCTGACCTCACTGGTGCTCGGTTTGGTTTGCTTTTGACTTCATTTGTAACAGTATAGGCTGTGTTTGGGGCATTATTTCTACCCTATTCTATCCCTATCCTACCCAAAATACATATTTGTTTCCCTATTCTAAAAATCTAATTCTATTTTATTCAACTACCTTTAAACCCCCTAGGTTTGTTAATTTAACTAAACACCCCCAACAATAAAAGTTTATAAATTGACAAAAACACCCCCACCCACCTACACATTCTTGGCAGCCGGCGTTTAATGGGTGGATGGGGCTGTTTTTGTTAACTTTGAAACTTTTATTGTAAGGGGTGTTTAACTAAATTAACAAATATAGGGGATTGAAAAATAATCTTACTAAACACATTTTCAAATTCAAATCTTACCTCATAATTATAACCCAACTCAACTTTTTCAAAAATACTACTCAAAATAATAAAACAAATACACCCATATTTTTTTCTTACCGCACTGGAATCCTGAAGCCAGGCTGTTGTAGAGGTTTAAGGATAGGAGAAAACTGTTGATGACTTAGAAGCCTTTTATAAGCTTATCTGTTTGGGATTCAACATTTTATCACTTAAGATGTTTTACTTAAACTGTGCAATGCCCTGCTCTGATTGAAGGAATGTATCTGCTCTGGGAATGGCTGGAGCAAGTTTCCCCTGTTTCCAATCACATTTACTTTTTATTAGAACCAGCTTCTTGACCACTTTTTATCGTTCTGACCCTAGCAAGATGATGACGATTCTTGTGAAGCTTGTTTATTGTCCAGTATCAAATTTTTGTAGGCACAGGGGGTTGTTTAATGTATGGTATCTTATTGATGTATGGATAAGTTTATTTATCTCTGAGTTGATGGGTTGCAGAAACCTAACATCTGGTGGATTTTCCACCATGAGCTGTTGGGTAGACGGTGTACTGTGTCTTTGTGGTTTATTTTTTCTTTAGTTTTCTCGGTTGGGTCTTTTGTTATAGTCGACTGTCTGAAATAAGTGCAAACTTGGCTAATATTTATAAGCATTTTCTTTCATATAAAGATTTCCTCCTTCCTTGCTATTGATATTGAGTAGAATATCTTTTGTACTTATTCTATTATTCTCTTTTTGGTTGTAAAACCAGAATGTTGTGCACGGGGATATAAAACCTGATAACCTGTTAGTTACACGTACGGGTATAGTGAAGATTGGAGATTTTAGCGTCAGCCAGGTTTTTGAGGTATGAATTATCTTTTCCCTTGATTTTCTAAGTTTATGAATACTTGCTTCAACGAAAAAATACAATTGATTGATATATACTTTTCAAATATTATTACTCATGAACTAGAATGGTGTAAAACATATTCTTCATCCTTTTTGTTTAGTGTCTTTTGTATTTTTCTCTATCTCTTCTCTCAGTGGCAATGCTATGATGTGGAAGAAACAGCTGATGAACATGTTGATTAATGTCGTATAATACCTGTTTGTAACGGGATTGTGTGATATTGAGTTTGTACATGCATGTGCTCATCTGTTGGAGTTGTGGTAAAAGGCATTGAAAGAAAAGCTTTTTGTCCAATTATAATAGTCTGTAATTGTTTTAGATAAATAGGATATACATTTTATGATTGTAGTTTAAGGATATGTCACTGTTACAGTCTAAAGTTTTGAATTTTTATATTGATTCTTGTCTTGTTGCATATTATCTGGAGTGACTACTTAAATATGAAGAGGCAATCTATGTTATATCTATGAATGTTTCTTTTACGGTGTAGTTTAAAACTAAACTATTGGGCAAGCAAGGCATCACAGAAAAATATTTTGCTTATCCTAGATAGAGTTGTATGTATATCTTTCTGATTGTGGATCTTGTATTGTTGAAATATTGCCCTAGGATCAATTAATAGTCCACCTAATTTCTTTATCGTGTTGAAACAAGACATTTTGGTTTTGCAGGATGATAATGATGAGCTTCGCCGTTCTCCTGGGACTCCTGTTTTTACTGCCCCTGAATGCTGTCTAGGTTAGAATTCTCTCTTTCAGAGATTTAAATTTGTGTTTATTAATAAGAGGCCATTGGATATATAACAGTGTATGTGAATTTCTTTTATGATAATAGGTCTAACTTACCATGGGAAAGCTGCTGACACATGGGCTGTAGGAGTTACTTTATACTATGTGGTACTGGGACAATATCCATTTCTAGGCGAAACACTGCAGGATACGTATGATAAGGTGTGCACAGTGCTTTTTGCATCTTCGTTTTTCTTTTTTTTTTTTTTTTTTTCTTTGTGTGTGACAGTGTTCTTTGTTACTACATTTTGTATGCCCATAGGGAAAAACTAAATTGAGATCTTTCTCTTCTGTTTTACAGATTGTTAATAACTCATTGGAACTTCCAGATGATATGAACCCACAGCTGAGAAACTTAATAGAAGGACTTCTTTGCAAAGGCCAGTATAATCTGTTCTTAATTAGCATAGGCTGCTCCTTACCGTCCACTTCTTTTACACCTGTCTTCAATTTTTATGATTTCCAATTTCTGCTGAAAAAAGGTTATAATTGTGGTTTGCAGATCCAACTCAGAGATTGACTCTAAAGGATGTAGCTGGGCACGCTTGGGTTATCGGAGAAGAAGGGCCAATCCCAGAGTATTTATGCTGGTGCAAGCGTAATACCCTGCAGAGGGACAGCAGTGCACAGAATTCTAACTGACTAGATTGTTTGATTAGTTTGGATTTCTTTGTGTACAGTGGAAAAGCTAGGTTTTTTATTTACAATTTTTTTTGAGTTATCAAAACTATTGGGCATATCTTTTGCCTGAGACAAATAGTAAGTAAAATTTTCTGGATTACAAAAGATTTGAGGCTCCCATCATCCACAATACAAAAAAGTGGAAGAATGCGGCTTGTAATCTGGCTTTCAGACTGTAGTATTTTTTTTCAATTTACAATTGACAATACGAGCTTGAGTTTTTCTGAATGAATAACACAATCGTGTTTCTTTTCTTCCTCTCAAAAAAACATTGATGAAAGAAGGAAGCTTTTAGATTTTGTTATGTGAAAGTGAAAGTGTAATGTAATAACTGCTCATAAATTCCTCTCCAGATGTCAGAAGGTTTTGGGTTGGCTTGAATGAGATGGTTTTGGAATAATAGCTTTCTTAAAGATTTAGTAAAGCAAAGCACATAAAAGATGCTGATTAAACATCAAACATCATTCTGTCAAGACAAGACATTCTCATGCGAATTCTACAATCCAAAGCAACCTTCATAAGTCTCTGATTTTGTTTTGAGGCCTCATGTCATCATCTCATCTTCTTCAACAAGCCATCTTATTTTAATAAGATTTAAAATAACATGGAGATAATGATATAAAAGATAGCACTTTGTAGGCTAATCCAATAACCCAAAATCAAAAAGTGGGCAATACTAATGCCAACTTTTATCACCCAAACTAAACCTAAAGCAGCAGCTGATTTTTTATTTTATTTTTCTTTAAAAGATGAAGATGATGGTGATGCAGACAAATAAAAAATAAAATAAAAATGAGAATTGATTGCAGGTTCGGTTCTGTTCTACCCTCGTGGCTCCCATGCACCTTTTGTCTCATACAAAACCCAGTTGGATTCTCTGACACTTCACACTACTATCCAACTAACTCTATTATTTATTAACCCTGTTACAACAACAAAATATCTGTTTATTTATTTATTTTTTTAACAATCGGGGTGTTCGAGTCTCTAGAATTTATTGAACACTTTATAAACTCAATAAGTAAGTCACAAATGAGGTAGATAACTTCAAGTGGTTTGAACCCAGAAAATCAATGAAATGAGCAAATATTTTTTTTTTTTATCACCAGATGGATTAATATCTGTTTACTTGTTACTAATATTTTATTAATGTATTTATTCAAAATTAACTTTAGAATTTTTAATGTTGTTGTCTTTCTCTATTCAAGCATAAACTTTGAGTTATTGCCTTCACATTTGCTTCTTTCCTCACACTTTAACTTTTTTTTTCTTGAGATGCTAATCAAAATTCCATTCAATGAATTCTACCCCGTTCTTTTCTTAGTGCAAGCCAAGACATTCAATTAATCAAGTAATTATAGGAAAATTTTCATTCCTTTCTCAGAGAGATAATTAAGTTTCAGAAAATGTTAAAAATAAGAAATAATATAGAAAATTAGGAGAAAGGCATGAGGCTTTAGAGGCTGACAAGTGGCATAAATAAGGGCCGTTAATTGTTCTCACGACTTTACCTAGAACTAGAATAAAGAAAAGTATTAGATTCTCTTACATATTTTTTTTTTTCAAGTTCTTAAATTAATAATTCTTTTGTTAATTAATTTTTTTTTTTTTTTAAAAAAGAAAAAGAATAGCATATTTGTTTAGTGCATGCCCATGATTAAGACTTAACTCATTGTGTTTTCCAATAACCTTTTTCATTAGAAAGTGATGGGTTGGTTAGATTAAATATTAATCAGCACGTGACTGTATTTATTTTAACATCTAATTACTAATAATTAATTAAATTAATACTAATAATAAGATCAGCCAAATCTTTGCCCTTTCAACGTTTGGCTAACACGTGCTAATTGATTCTCTCTATTCACGAATAGTCTTCCTCATCATAACCATCACCAGTTTATTAATCTTACGTGTTTATAAATACTATTTTGTTTGGCAACAGGAACAACCAGTAACTTTCATTCTTCTATGGTGGACTGGGATTGGCCCAAGCCAGCCCATGGTCAGGCCCAATCTAATTCATAAATGTTGGTTTTTTTTTTTTTTAACTTCAAGTTGTCAAAGTACCAGTAAGTACATCCATAATTCTCATGATTATTCCTGCACACGGAATAAAACAAAAAGGAGTCAAAGGGTAGTTTTGGAAATTCAGGAGCAGAGAGTTTGGCAGAAATCTGTACTAGAACACAGGTGAAGTTTTAAGTTTTATCCGCCGAAGAAACGGCTTTAGTAACTTTTGAGAGCCATTAAATGCCGCCACTTTGACTATTTAGTACTAGTTGACTCAGTAAATGTCCGAGTCAACTGCGTGATTTGACCAACCTTAAGCCTTCAATCAGAACTTTAAAATTACAATTTGACCCCTCAATTATCATGTAATATTATTAATTACTATCAATTTGTCTAACTTATAAAATAAAGAAAAATAAAATAAAAGTTGAAATTGAGTTAGGTAATTACTCAAGTCTATCAAATGGTATATAGGATTTAAATGATACTAATTTAAGGGTACAAACGAGCCAAATCAAGCCGAGCTTAGCTTGGTTGCTCGTTAAAAATTCAAGTTCGAGTTCGAACTCACAAAAAAAACTCTCCAGTTCTCCACTTTCCTAATCACATTTTTTGCCCAGATAATATTGTTAAACCATACTTATTAATCTATATTAGATATACACATAAATAATAATTAAAGAGTGCCAACGACGATTGCGGATGTATAGTTGTCATATTCGCTTTTAATAAAATAAACATATATTATTAGGCTAGTGATTATTACGACAATCGTACTCGTAACCGTTAATCGGTTACTAACACTTAGTTATAATAATTTAGGATCAGGTATTGATTTGATATAAAGAGTTAAACAAGTTTAGAAAATGTAAATATAAATGAACGAAGAATATGAAAGTTTGAATTGAATAAGGAAGATGAGTTGGACTTGGGGGGTGGGCGGTTGGCATGAATTGTAAAACTCGTAACGTATTTGTAATCATAAAGAAGAAAGAGTTTGATTAATCACAAGTTTCATGTTTTGTGAACGTCATAAAGGTCTGGTCCCTATTGGTCAAACCCTCCCAATGTCCTAGTCAATCTTTTTCATTTCTTCCTTCTTACGTTTCTTTCCTCTTTTATTATTTCACCATTTAATCCACCTTCGTAAATTTCACCTAAATAAATACATTAATACTACCATTTAAACACATAAAAGTACATAAAGGAATAATAAAATTATATATATATAAATATTAAGATATTTGTTATAAATTTTTATTTATTTAATCCTTCTGGATAGAGTCCGAATTTTTTTGATAATGTGAGTGAAAAAAACTCAACCAAAAAGGAAAGGGTAAAAACACAAATTTGAAGAAAATATGGGCCCTTTTGCAAATAACGGCGACACATTTCCGTTTTTATAGCCACACCCTCTCTTCATCACTTCACCTTCTCAGTTTCCTTATGCAACAGTCTCAACTGGCCGGACTCCGGCGCCATGTCTAGAGACTAGAGCCACATAGTTTCCGGCTAATTTCCCGGCGAAAGTTCGTTACTTCCGTAGAAAGTTACGGTACGAATTATCCAAATTCTCATTTTACATTTTTAGACTATGAAAATCTCCATTTGTTTCAATTGTATTCAGCGAGATCCAATTAATTACCTGATTCGGATCCGAATTTTTACGTTCGGCAGTGATTTGGATTTGAACCGAATTTTTTTTTTTTTGGTAATTTTATACCGGATCGGCCCGTGATTTTAGAATTATAATTGATATTCTTGCTTGTTTAACTGTTGAAATATGTGTTTTGTTATGGTTTTTGTATTGATTTTTAATTATATTTTTTTTCCTTTTCAGGTAACTCTGTTTGAATTGTTAGAGAAAAGTTTGAAGATTTCCCGGAAAATCCCCGTTGTTCGGTCCTATCGCGGGGATTGGGTTTGACTTCTCATTTGATTTGCTCCTGTATCGACTAATTTTTTTTTTTTGGGGAATCTATAGAGAATTAGGGCTATTTGGGGTTTCTCAAATGGTTGTCAAAACTCAAAAGGGGGGATTCTTTTAATCCAGATTGCGATACGACTTTAAATGTTTTGATTTGTTAAATTTGATGGAAAAAACTAATAGGTGTAGATTGATTGTAGGCAAAGATCAGAATTTGTTTTCGGGTTATTGGGAGCTTAAGTGAGAATCGTGGGGTGATACTGGGTTTTTTTTTTCTTGACATTTTATCGAAATTGATTTGTTTTCAGAAATTTGTTTGATTTTGTTTGGAATATATTAAGATACTTGTTCAAAATGATAAAGAAAGCTCGTTTGGATGATATTACGGAGGAAACAGAAAATGAAGAAGTAAATAGTTTTTCAATGGTGAATTGGGGGGAAACAGTGAATTATGGTTGTTGCCAAAATAGGCCAAGTGATTCACTGTTTCCTGGTCTTGTTGATGATGTTGCCTTGAACTGTCTTGCTTTGGCGTGTAGATCAGACTATGCTTCTTTGTCATGTATAAATAAGAGGTTTCATAAATTAATCAAAAGTGGGTATTTGTATGGATTGAGGAAGCAACTAGGTGTCGCAGAGCATTGGGTGTACTTAGTTTGTGATCCAAGGGGCTGGGAAGCATTTGATACAATGAGAAACAAATGGATGACGTTGCCTAAGATACCTTGTGATGAGTGTTTCAACCATGCAGATAAGGAGTCATTGGCTGTGGGTAGTGAATTGTTGGTTTTTGGGCGTGAGTTATTTGATTTTGCAATTTGGAAGTATAGTTTGGTCCATAGTGGTTGGATGAAGTGTGAGGGAATGAATCACCCCCGTTGTTTGTTTGGATCAGGTAGTCTTGGTTCTATTGCTATTGTTGCTGGTGGTAGTGATAAGAATGGAAAAGTTTTGAATTCAGCAGAGTTATATGACTCTACATTGGGTAAATGGAATATGTTACCCAAAATGAATTCACCACGTAGATTGTGCTCTGGTTTTTTTATGGATGGCAAATTCTACGTCATTGGTGGGATGTCAAGTCCTACTGAATCATTAACATGTGGAGAGGAGTTTGATTTTGAGAGAGGGGAATGGAGGAAGATAGAAGGGATGTATCCAAATGTTAATAGAGCTGCCCAGGCTCCTCCACTTGTGGCTGTTGTTGATAACCAGCTCTATGCAGTTGAGTATGTGACAAACATGGTGAAAAAGTATGACAAGGTGAAGAACACTTGGGATGTGTTGGGAAGGCTACCGGTTAGGGCTGATTCTTCGAATGGCTGGGGTTTGGCATTTAAGGCTTGCGGAGATAAACTTTTGGTTGTGGGTGGGCAAAGAGGCCCAGAAGGTGAAGCTATTGTGTTGAACTCTTGGTGTCCAAAGTCAGGAGTTAATAATGGGACCCTGGACTGGAAAGTTCTTGGTGTGAAGGAGCATGTTGGGGTATTCGTGTACAACTGTGCCGTTATGGGTTGCTGATGATTCTTTAGATTGACTCAACGGATGAAGCAGGTTTCTGCAACCTGCACTGCACTATAGGGTGCTTTCCTGCACATTATTTGATTGACTAAAATTAATTGTTGATGAGGTAGCCTTTCACAATCTATGAATTCAATTACTTTGCTTAGCATGTCTGTATCTGAAAACTTTATGATTATGCAATTTATCTGCTTTCAGGAGTACTCAGTTGGGTCACTCTGATCATGTATCTTTCAAATCCCATTTCTGATCCACAGTCAACGTATTTATATCAATAAATTGAAACCTTCATTGTTGAATGAATTGGTTCTCATTGTGTAGTTCTTTGCTCCATTGGTGTACCAGATTGAGTTCATAATTTTCAGTGATGCATGTTCTTTCATTGTGTAGGGCTACTGTGCTATACTCCATAGCAAATTTTCTTAAATTTTCACTTCAAAGTTTTGACATTATCGTAGGCTACACTACAGCATGAGTAATGCAATAAATAGTGGCAGTAAGGAGTGAAAATTGTTGAAAAGATGAACGGCGGTTGTTGAAAGTGGTTGAAATGCCGGTTTTTGGTTTGACCGACCAAGCGTATGGAGTTGAAACATTTTGTCAGTTCAACATTATGCAACTTATACATTGAAGCAAGCAATTAATTCAATTCTATCCATTATAAAAGAAAAAAAAAGTAATGATACTCATGAGAGTTTGGTGCAGTGCAAACAAAAAACACTCCAATTCCAAAGTGGGCAAAATTATTGAACCTCTTCTGAAATTGAAATACCACCACCAAACCAATAAATAGCTCCGTGATTCCCTTCTCTGTGAGTTTATTAAAGTCTTTGAAAATGTGTCTGGTTATTCGGTGGCATTTGCTGTTGATTACCAACCGCTTGCTATATCAAATTGAATTATTATACAGTCTAATGACAATTCATTTTGATGTAATTATTTTTGTGGGTTGTCGTGGATTAAATAAGTCATATTATAATAAAACCTTGTTTTAGAACTAGAAAAAGTATTTATCATATATTTATAGAAATTGTTTTTGAACAAAAATATTCTATTAAATTACATTTTTATTTAATATTTTGGTTCATACATTTTTAAGTGTTTTTGCCGGACAAGAGCAGTTGTCATAAAGCTTTCCTTCTAACAAGGCCAGGCCGGCACCGGGGTTAACTTAGCAATGATCGAAGCTTATTTGACATAGTGTGGGTTGGGCTTCAAAACAGAAATGTGAAATTGTGAATGCCCATTGCAATTTCCTATATATACATATTAAATTATATACATAAATTATATCTCAAATAAATTATATGAGGCAAATAAAATATAAAATTTTGAAGAGATAATTATATTTGTTGATGCGTGATTTTGATACCAACGACGTTGCACGTGCAAAGTGCTAAGTAGGTCTTAAAAATTACACGTGAACAGTAGTATGCAAAGATTTAACAAGTAAATGAGACAGTGAGAATTTTTATAGTAGTTTGGATGTTTAAAGAGATTCCTACATCTATTGTTATCTTTTTATATAAGTGTTCTTGGTTATTAGCCAAGCTACAAGCGGTCGCGAACAACGAACAGAATTACAAGAGCTTGGTATTCAAAGTGAATATCAAGCTAGTCTCTTCCTCGTAGGTTGTCTTTACTATATGTTTGTGTGAATTCAAAGTATTTGATCCCGATATTGTGAGGGGGAGTCCTCTCTTTATAGCTGTTGAGCTCAAGGTAATGATTATAAGTCTACAGGTGGGTAGAAACCATGCAAGTCCTTCCTTATGCTCCATTGGTTAACAAGTTAAGAAATATCCTTAAATTAAATGAGGCTTGGACAGGTGTGTGAACCAAATTCATTCACAAACTAAACTTAAGTCGGCTGGGCTAGTGACAACTATGTTTTCTTTGTCTTGGGGCGACATGACAAATTCTGGACGGTGTAAAGCCTTCCTGAACTCCAATTGGCGCTTGCTGATGTAAGCTTACTTCAGCCCTGATTTTTTAGGCATAACAGAAGCTCCCCAATTCTTAAGATTCAAGGAATTAGACCTTGAGAACTTCGTGATTATGCTACGACCTTCCTTGACTTCAGAAACGTTTACTCGAGCTGAATGCCAAGATATAATCACATCGTTGCAGACGACCTGAAGTTGAATGCTTGATCTGACTTCTGAAGTGTTGTCTTGATTGGCGAACTGGAGATAGGTCGTGAAATATGATTTGAGAGTAACACGGGCGACCTAACTTGATCGTTTACTGAGATCTAACGACTTGAGCTTGATCTTTTCCTAAGTCATTAGGAGGCATTTTGAACTCTAATTGTCATTTATGACTTGAAAACACTTAGAATATTTCATGGTTGAAAATTTTGAACAATCTTGTTTGGTGTTCGTGTTCGACATGTTGAATAAATGTCTTCTTTGAACGACCTCTTCAGATGTTATTTGCTACGTTTGATAGTTGGTTCAGTCAATAAAGTAAATTTTATCTGACAAACGTGTCTCTACAAGCAATAAGTGTCAGCCATGAGCATTAAATGCGAGCTATGCTGAAACGAAATTCCCTTTTGGTGCATTGAATGCGGCTGAAGGCGCATTTAATGCGAAGGAGATAATTACGCTGGCGTTTGACATTTTCAATAAAGAAAAGCGCCAGTTGATTTTCACGAAGCGTGAGGGTTACTCTTTGTGTAGATTGATGACACATGGTCGTAATCTATGACTAAGAGCACATTCCCGCCCAAATGTTGCTTATAAAAGAAGCTAAGCGTTGTCCTCCACCCTATAAAACCCTAAGTTTCTAGAAAACTCAAATTTTTCAGAGAGAATAACAATGTTTTTCTACCCCCAAAAAATTTGTTCATGCGAACCCAACACTACAACAGAGTACCCATTTTAGGCAACCAAGAGGTAAAGAAATTTTTTCATTCTTCTCTTTTACACATTTCAACAATTTTTTTTTTTTTTTTTTTGACAATCATGGTGGTTATGGGTATCTTGTAGGTCTAGGAAAGGAGCACTTCTGGGTGGTGTTCGAAAGAGACACTTGAAGGCTTAAAACTTAGGGTAAAGAGTTTAGAGGATCATTTTTAAGAGTTTTTAGGGTTTAGAAGCTTTGACGGCTATGGAAGAAAAACCATGGTTTTTTTATTCCTATGAGTCATTGTATGAGGTAGATTATTCAGGGTTTGAGTCTCCCCTAAACATCATACCTTTACAGACTCTAGAGCCAATGGAGATCCCTGAAATGAGAATAGCCAGCGTAGAAAGCTCGCACCTGCTAGGTACTTCTGCAGGTCTCGGAAAGGTGATAAGGTCTATTGTCACAATGAACAAAATCAAAGATGCATTAGAGTAGTATGCGATTGACGTGGAAATGTTCCAAAAGAGGTCGTACACTGCCTAGGAGCCTCCCGAGGGAATGACTAGTATCTCGGAAGTCATCTTCAAATGCAGAGTGAGGATACCCTTCCACCCCTACATTAGGTCAATTCTCGACCACTTCTAGATCACACCATTCTAGCTAACTTCGAACGCATATATGATAGCTATCGCTATGTATATATCGTTCTGCAAGCATGACCTCGAGGAGCCAACGACACTGGAGCTCGCTTGCGCCTATATCTTGAAGAAGAGTAAAGATAAGGATTCGTACTACCTTTCCAAATGATCAATGATCGAGGAAGGAATAGTTGGCTATCCCAGCAATGCGGGAGCTTCCAAGACCAAATATTTATTCTTTAAGTATGACGGTGTTTGTAAATTTTAGGAATCGAGTAGTTTTTTCCCTTCAATTTTCAGGTTGCTCGTCCTTTACACTTAATTCTTTTTCAGATTATAAGCTAACGAACTCTTTTATTTGCTGAAAATAAAATGACCAAGTTGCAACTATTGACCGATCGTAGCCGCATCAAAGCATTCAGCTGACTTTCTGATAGAGGTCGCGACGCAAAGCTACTTGTGACGACTGAAAACCTTGGAAAGTACAGATTCTTCCCTCCCGAAGCATACTTAAACGATTTAGCTCGTAAGTTTTTCTGAAACTAAAAAAACCCAAGTCTCTTACATAGTTAGACTATTTTGCTGATCATTTTTGTATGCCATGCAGCAGCCATGCAATCGAAGAAAACAAAGCGATCTGGGGGAATCACTTTCCTGAGATTGAACCTAAACTCGCAACTTGGACCAACCTCGAGCGATATCCCTATAACGGGGACACAAGCTAGTGCCAAAAGGCAACCAACTGTGGAGCGACATCAAGAAGCTCCTTAGCTTACTACTGCTCGCCTATTGAAGAAGAAAACCATGACCTTAAGGAAAACGAAAATTATAACAACCAAAGCATTTGAGTGAGATGACTTCTGAATATTACCGAGTGGGCTACATCCTACCTAACTTCCTACCTCGAAGATTGTTTTAAAAGGCGCCCTAGGAACTTCGCAAGGGAAGAAAGGTGTGGCCACTCAAGGAGAAATTGGCGAAGAACAAACAGAAGAGGTCTCTACCTCAGTAGGGCAAAGTCAATCCATACTGGACCTTCTGGGGAAGATGTTAGACCATCTAAGGCTGGTGGACTTCACCCTTTTAGAGTGCCAACTAGCATCGACCTTCGAGAGATATGTAACCTCTCGACCTTCTGACTTGGTGGCTATTGCGCTTCATATATGCAAAGCTAGGTAAAACAAACATTTCTCTTTGTGAACTCTTTTACATAGGTCGGGTTCCCTATCGTTAAAAAAAAAACTAACTCTTTACCCCTTTCTCTTTTAGTCTCTACTCACCTTGAACGTTGCTCATAACAAGATGAAGATAAACTCCTCTGGAAAAGTTCATGAAATGAAGGAGAAGTTTACCAAATTAAAGCAAGCCTTTGCCACCTCAAACGAAGCTGTAAGCAATGCTTAGGTTCAAGCAAGCACATCTCTGGCAGAAAGGGACTTCGCTCAATGAACAATAGAGTTCTAGAAGCACGAGCTTCAAAAGAAGGATGACCACACCAAAGAGCTCCAGATGGCAATAGCGAAGCTCACCAAAGATCTGAATCAAAGAGAGAAGGAGCTACAAGAGAGTGTAGATCGCGAGAAGGAAATAGAAAAGACTCGAACTGAGCCATGGGAAAACATAGAAAAGAGAATAAAGGTGAAAGACATAGAGCTCAAGATGGCTCAAGGGTGGATCACTTCGTTGACATAGCAGATGAAGCAATTGAATAGCGAGGTGGAAAGAAAAGTTGGTCATTGGGCATTGTAAGTTATTCACAGCTTGCGACCGAACAACCCAAACTTCGAAGTCAGGGATCCTAAGGTTTAAGACAAATGATCGACCTCTTTCCTGCTTGTCCTCAAGGAGTCTTTTTTGTTTCTTTTTGCTATTTTTTGTAGCTCTCTTTGTCGTCCATGTACATATTTTTGAAAATATATAAACATACTTTTGTAGCTCTCTTTTGTAACCCTTTTATAGTTTAAGTACTTCACAAAACAAATATAGCTTTTCTGATCGTAAAGCTTGTATAACATTGTAAATAATAAGATTATTAAAACTTGAGATTACGACACAAGTAATTCTTGAAGAGGAAGTGGGATAATCTTATTCATGATATTTACAAGAAAAAATTACAAGTAAAACAGATCGCATAAGCTATACAAGGGTTTGGAATCACTGATAATAAGGACACAAATGTTCAACATTCCAAGCTTGCGGCACTTCAGAACCATTAAGTCTTTTGAGATGATACGTCCTAGACTATATCACTTTAGGGAAGCGATATGGACCTTCCTAATTAGGCCCCAATACCCCTGCGCTTCATTCTCAAGAATGACTTATTTGAGGACCAGGTCGCCAACCCAGAAGTATTTTCTCTTGACTTTGGAGTCGAAGAATCTTTTAGCCCGCTGTTGGTAGGAAGCTATCCTTAACCGACCTTTGTTGTAGTGTTCTTCAACTAAGTCTAGACTTGCACGCATAAATGCTTCATTATCTGCCTCATTGTGTAATTCTTTCCGAAGTGAACCAATTCCTACTTCAATTGGGACCATTGCCTCGCAGCCATATACTAGGGAGAAATGTGTCTCTGAAGTAGAGGTCCTCGAAGTTGTTCTATATACCCATAAAACTTCCAAGACATCGTCAGCCCAATTGCCTTTTGATACACCAAGCTTGGCCTTCAAAGTGTGTTTAATGATTTTGTTGACAACTTCAACTTGACCATTAGCTTGTAGTCTTGCTATTGAGGCAAATTCTTATGAATCCTTAGCTCTTTGCAAAACTGCTTGAACTCCTCGTTGTCAAACTGTTTCCCATTATTTGAGATGAGTGTATGAGGAATTTCATAGCGACACACTATATTCTTGAAGACAAAGTCTTTGAATTTCTTTGTGGTGATTGCGGCCAAAGGTTCTACCCCGATCCATTTAATAAAATAATCTACTACGACCACAACATATTTGACACCACCCCTACCGGTTGACATGAGATCGATAAGATCAATTCCCCACATAGCGAATAGCCAAGGATTGGTCATCGTTGTCAATTGGTGGGAAGGATCTCACAGGAAGTTCGCTAATCTCTGGCACTTATCACACTTCTTCACAAAGTTATATGTATTTTCATGAAGTAAAGGTCAATAATATACCTGACGGATAATTTTGTTGGCAAGAGATTGTGCAGCAGTGTGATTACCACAGATCCCTTCATGTATCTCTCTCATGATGTAGTTTGCTTCTTCATCAATTGCACATCGGAGGAGGGGGAGTGCTAAAACCTCATTTATATAACTGATCCCTGATTATGGACGTGCATCTCTAGTTTATAGGAGCCTTGCCTCAGTCTTGCTGTTAGGAAGGACCCCTTCTTTGAGATATTGAATGATAAGAGTCATCCAAGACACAGATAAGTTGTAGCCATTGTTTGGTCGGGTGAGTTAATATTGGGAACTTCGATGTATTTGATCAGGATGTTATCCAGCGCATCAGAGTCTAGCGATGAAGCTATCTTCGCCAAAACATCTGCGATACAATTGCTGTCTCTCGAAATTTGCTTGATCGTATAGTGCTTGAAGGGCTCGAGTGGGACCTTGGCTTTCTTCAAGTAACTGATCATATTCTCTTATTTGGCTTGATATTCTTTCAAGATTTGATTGGCTAGGGAGTTGCTATTGATGTCGATCATATTTGATCCCATCTTTCTTGCTAGTCGCAAACTAGCAAATAGTGCTTCATACTCAACCTTATTATTTGTGTCTTTGAATTTGAACCTAAGGGCTTTATAAATATGAGTTCCTTTAGGGTTGACAAGCGGAAGACTAGTTCCAACTCTTTTTATGTTAGAAGACCCATAACATAAATACTCCATGTTGACAAGTTCCAAATAGTTTCTTGGATATCTTCGATTGCTGGCTATTCTGGTTCTCGATCTGACTGATAAGAGAAACTCTGATATGAAGTCAGCTACGGCTTGCCCTTTGATTGTTGCTTTTAGTCTATAATGTAGACCTGACTTAATTCCATGGCCTTTTGAGTAATTTACCCGAGGCCTCTGATTTTTAAAGGACTTGTTTGAGCAGATAATTTGTAAGTACATGAATGGTATGGGTATAGAAGTAAGGTCGCAGTTTCTAAAAAGCTATTAGCAAGGTAAAAACTAATCGTTAAATCTCTGGGTACCTTGACTCTCATCCAGTAACCGTTTGCTGATGTAATACACTAGCCATTGAGTTTTGCCTTCTTCTCGAATGAGAGCTGCACTGATCGCATACTGAGAAACGGACAGGTGGAGAAATAAAATTTCTTTAGGAAGCAGCTTGGACAGAAGAGGTGGTTTTCCAAGATGCCCTTTTATGCTCTGGAAGGCTTGTTCACACTCTGGAGTCCATTCAAATCTTTTATTGGCTCTGAGTATATTAAAGAACAGTAAACATCGATCTGTTGCTCTGATATGAAGTGATTGAGAGTCGTTTTTCTTCCCTTCAAGCTCTGAACTTGTTTGCGATTGGTGAGACTTTTCATATTTAGAAGAGCTTGGATCTTATCGAGATTGACTTCAATTCCCCGATGATTAACCATATACTCTAGGAATTTTCCTGTGGGTACTTCAAATGAACACTTAAGAGGATTAAGCTTCATTTTATATCTCTGGAGCATATCGAACATTTCTACAAGGTTGGATATATGATCTGAAGTGACACGCGACTTGACCAACATGTCATCAACATAGACCTTCATTGTTTTTCTGATCTGCTCAGAAAACATACATCGCCCCAACATTTTTCAGGCCGAAGGGCATAACTCTATAGCAGTATAGTCCTCGATCCGTTTCGAAATCTGATTATATCTTGAGTAGGCATCCATGAAGCTCAGCAGCTCTTGCCTGGAAGTGGCATTAACGAGCTGATCTATTCTTGGCAGAGGGAAATTATCCAATGGGCAGGCATTGTTAAGATCAGTGAAATCAACGCAGGTTTACCACTTATCGTGAGGTTTTTTTTTTTTTTTTTTTTTTAACCAAAACAGGATTGACAATCCAATTGGGGTAATGAGCTTCCCGAATGAACCCGATTGAGAGGAGCTTATCCACCTCAACATTAAGAGCCGCATAGCGTTCTGGGTCCATAGCTCTTATCCTTTGGCGAACTGGCTTGACTGCACTGTCGATGTTAAGTGCATGACATATAGCGTCTAAGCTGATCCCAACCATGTCAGCATGAGTCCATGCAAAAACATCTATATTTTGTCTGAGGAAGCTTGTTAAATCAATTGCGAGTTGAGAGTTGAGATTGCTTCCGATTTTTAGCATATGAGTTGGCTCGTTTTTGTCGACAAAAACCTCAGATAAAGTCTCAATAGGCTCATTGTGGGAATACTCCTCTTGAGCACGAGGATCAATACTGTCTTCCACTGGACTAGGATGTGGTTTGATCCTACTGATCACCATTGCCTGTTCAGGAATGCCCATAGGTTTCCATTTTCCTTTCCCTTTGCATGCCATCTGCACCACTATATCATAGTAGTCGCGAGATTCACATTGTGATCCCTTGACTTCCCCACACCCTGTCGGAGTGGGAAACTTCATATTTAGATGATAGATTGAGGTGACAACCTTAAAATTTCACAGTGGAGGTCATCCGAGGATGCTATTAAAAGCTGATGGACAATCCACAACTAAAATTTTTGTCATTTTGGTCAATCCACTACTAAAATTTTTGTCATTTTGGTCATTTTGTGGGTATCTCCCAAAGTGACCGGAAACGAAATCATTCTTTGGGGGATTGGATGGTCCCTAGTAAACCTATATAAAGGAATGGAGACAGGTTTTAGATCTACCTCTTCTAGCTTTATTTCCTCAAAAGCTCACTGGAATATGATGTTCACGACACTCTCATTGTCCACCAACATTCCGTGGACTTCGTACCTTCCTATTTCTACTAGGTCGTGGTTCCAGATTAAGCACATAGTAGGGCTCATGCCTAGCCTCTCGAGCATATTTTCCCTATGCACTTCGAGAGTTTTCGATTATATGAGGTCCCCCAAAGATAGTCCCTACCAGATAGAGATATTTGCGACCTCGGCGCCTTTTCCCATCGTCCTCTTGGTCTTTCTCCCTTGTGGAAGTTGGACTAACAACATACTCTTTGAAGTACCCTTTTTGAATGAGGTCTTTAATTGCCTGCTTAATAGCTCGACATTCATCGGTGTGGTGCTTATTATTTTGATAATAACAGCAATATTTCTTGCCATTTCTTTTAGATGCGAGTTTTTTCATGGGCTTTAGCTCCCTGAGCAGATTAGCCTCTTCTGATTTATCCAGAATGGCTAAAATGGATGCATTGAGTGGAGTGGAGATGTCACAGTTGTGACGAGGAACTAGAACATATGATTTCTTGGGCTCAAACCGTTGTTTCTTTCCCTTTCTCTGATCGTTATTAGCCCATTTACGATCATATCTTCTACTACTCTCTCTTCGGTATTCCTCCCTTTGACTGGGAGCGTTGGTCGAAGGCCCGGGGTCATGGCGATTTAAAACTGCCACCGAGTTTTCTATTAGTAGATATTTCTATGTTAGATTGTAGAAGTAGTGAGAGAAATATCATCCTCATATTGCAATTTCTTCCATAGGTCGGTTTGCGGGCGAATTTTAGTAATTATCAGAGTTCAAACTGAATCCTCGGGGGTATTAGCCACCTTGTTCAGTTCCCTGTGGAACTTGTTAATATAGGGTTGAAGAGACTCATTTTTCTCTTGTCGTATGTTGCTGAGATAGCTTAACGACATTGAGAACTTTCGATTGGCCTGAAAGTGTCTCAAGAACAACGAGCTCATCTGCCACCACGAGTTGATAGACCTTGGTGGAAGCAATCTGAACCAACGTTTGGCGTGGGCAGTTAGAGTCATTGCCAAGCAGCTATATTTCGTCAAGTTAGAAACTTGGTGAAATTCCATGAGGTCGTTAAACTCATAGAAATGATCCCGCATATCAGAATTTCCCTCTAATGCTCTCATGTCAGGCATTCTAAATCTTGACGGCAGAGAAGCAGTTAGAACTGCTGGAGAAAAGGGCGACGCCTCAACGACCCTGCTAATTTGTTGACCTCTAAGCTGATCTAAAGCCCGTTGTAGCTCCTTTATTTGAGGAAGCGGAGCCCTTGGGGGATCACTTTCTACAATGTAGGTACGTTCCCTACGATTGTAGCTGAGGAAAGACCGCAGGTTGGTACTTTCTCTCCCTTGGCCGGAGCTTTTGGCATGCCTTAACACCTGCTGGTTGGAGCCTTGTGAAGGCATTGAATGGCTTAGAGAGTTTTCCCTACATCTGCAGTGGTCAAAATCGACCCGCGGATGGTGCGTGCTTCTCTCTCGATGATGGTTGGAACCATTGTAATGGCGATAGCGGGGATCTCCCTGCCGAGCACTCTTGTGGGGGTGCCCTTGCGATGTGGTATGGGATGGCTCTTGATGCGACATACTGCCAAGTCGCTAATGCACAAGTTTTTTCCCTTTCTTGTTACCAATATTCGCTTGCCCCTTCGAGCCTTTTCTGCCTTTTCTCGGCCCTTTGTTTCCCTTTATCTTTACGCGTTGTAGTGCATGTGGTATGAGCTTTTGCTCGTTTCCACGCTTTAGCGTGACCTATAGACCTTTTTGGAGGTGGTACCGCCTTGTCAAAATTTAGCGGCATGACTTGATCAAAACGATCTAGCCTTTGGCTCATCGTTTGAAGGGTTTTGTCAAACTTCTCCAGGTAGCTGATCACATCAAGGTCTGCCTGGGAAGTTGAGAGGATGTCTGTCGTAGTGCTATGGGGAGGTGGAGCTACTTCGGGAGGAGTAGTCTCCTAATTGCGGGGGGGTCTCCTCGTTGTTGGCGCTAGTATGCTCCGTTTCAAGACCACGAGCCATGAGTTTTGCAGGTAATACTGATTGATCAGTTGAGGATACCGGACAAAGAGCTGGTGTGAAATCTCGCCCTCCTTCTAGTGCCAAACTGTTGATGCGTGATTTTGACACCAACGATGTCACACGTGCAAAATGCTAACAGGTCTTAGAAATTACACGTGAATAGTAGTGTGCAAAGATTTAACAAGTAAATGAGACAGTGAGAATTTTAATAGTGGTTCGGATGCTTAAAACAATTCCTACATCTATTGTTATCTTTTTATATAAGTGTTCTTGGTTATTAGCCAAGTTACAAGAGGTCACGAATAACGAACATAATTACAAGAGCTTGGTATTCAGAGTGAATATCAAGCCAGTCTCTTCTTGTAGGTTGTCTTTGCTATTTGTTTTTGTGAATTTAAAGTATCTGATCCCGATTTTGTGAGGAAGAGTCCTCTATTTATAGCCGTTGAGCTCAAGGTAATGATTGCTGTGTAAGTCTTTCCTTGTGCCCCATTGGTTGATAACTTAAGAAATATCCTTAAATTAAATGGGGTTTAGACATGTGTGCGAACCAAATTCATTCACAGACTAAACTTGAGTTGGCTGGGTTGGTGACAGCTATGTTTTCTCTATCTTGGGGTGATGTGGCAGATTTTGGACAGTGTAAAGCCTTCCTGAACTTTGATTGACGCTCGCTGATGTAAGCTTACGTCAGCCCTGATTTTTTAGGCATAACAATTTTGGGGGTGTCTGTCGAGCTTACGCGTACCTCAACTAATCTTTTCGGACCCTAAAACTATCGATCGAGTAAGAGCTTGATTGATTACCTCTATTAGCAATCGAAGAGTGACTCAAACTCAGCTAATCCTCAATTAATCCTCCAAGACCTTGGAACTACCAGCCGAGTAAGAGCTCCAATGATTATTTCTATTAACAACCGAGAATGAACTTGAACTCATAACTACTTGAGTAATACACCAAAGAGTTCTCATCAAACTACTCGATCACTCATAGTTAGTTTTTATTTATCTTACTACAAATAAGTTATATAATAATAACAGGGTCAGAACTTTTATTTTATTATTTGGCTTTTGAAAATATCAAATTATACAAAACATTCTATAATTAGGACAATATAGTAAAACTGCACTAATCTTATATTACAAGGAGAGATTAAGATCACTACTTAAATAAAAACAAATTTCATTAGGTGTAACTTATAATGAGGTGAATTAGAGTTGGATTAAATTCCCAAACAACTCATAAATCATAATAATCTCTTTGTCATTTAGGTATAACTTAGTTGTAACAAAACATAATTACATTAATAAATAAATAAATAAATAAATAATCCAATTCCAATTACCATTCCCATTGCAATACCAAACCCAAACAATCTTTATTCTTATCTATCTCCTCAAGTCAATCTCCTAATTTTCCATCGCCCGCCTCCTTCGTTCAATTCAATTCAAAATTCACTTGAATAATGGGAAATTCCAATTCAGGACAACATCGGAGGCACTATCACAGTGACGAACCACCGCCTCCACGATCTCGACCCACGCCAAACCAGTACGTCTTCGCCGCTGCGACGCCCTATCCCGCTCAATACCCTAATTCTAATCGATATTACCACAATTACCCCTCTTTTTACCCGCCCCCTCCTGTTCCCGCTCCCACTCCCTACGGTGCTTTTCATCAAGTACCTGGTGCGCATTATCCGCCCATGATGGCGCCCTACGTCGAGCACCAGAAGGCGGTTACCATAAGAAATGATGTTAATGTGAAGAAGGAGAGTCTTAGGGTTGAGCCCGATCACGAAAGTCCTGGAAAGTTCCTTGTTTCTTTCACGTTTGACGCCACTGCGCCTGGAAGGTATATCTTTATATGCGGATTAAGATGCCAATTTGGTTTTAATTTCATTTTTAATGATTTCTGATTTTTTAATGTGGGTTTGTTTCTGGTTTATATTTTGTTGCTTACATGGTGTTGAAAAGTGGAAAGGAATTTGTATCTAGGTAGGTTCAGGGCGTTTAAATTTAGTGATTAGATGACAAATTTATATGATTATCGTAATGTAAACATTATCCAAGAAAAAAAAAGAGAAAAGAAAGAAAGCAAAGGTAAAAATGAAACCAACATTCTTTGCAGTTTTGGCTTAAAGCTTGTATATTGGTGAATCCAATCACCATTTTCCAAATATATTCTGGCTTAAAGCTATTTAAGTATTCATAAATTATTTACTGCAAAATCATTTTCATAAGATATAATTTCCTTATGTAATTTAGCGTCTGAGTGATGTAGTAGTATATTTTCTTCTTTAGAATGATTTTGGTGTGTGGTTACAGGATTTTTCTTCTTCCCAAATATGAGCTTTTGTGTTCTTATATAATGAATTTGATTTGGCTTAGTGCATTTCTCCTTAGCATCTGAAATATCAAGTTTCGAGATTTTCCGACAGACATTATTTTATTGATTACTTAAACATATTTTGCTAATGAGAAATAATACGCTATTTCATATTATAGTTGGAGCCATATTCTATCAATTATCAAGGTACATGAAAGTTATTTTTTAAACTAATTTACTAACCGTTAGAGTTGTGGAACCTGTTTAATTCTCTTGCTTTTGATTATTATTCTTTGACCTGCATATATTGATGCTTTCTATACTTCAAACTTCTATACTACTAAGATATTGCTCTTCTGACAATTGTTCTTTTCTTTTCTTCAACAGTATTTCGGTTATGTTTTTAGCTAAAGAAGAAGAAGACTGTAACCTGATTCCAACAAAGGAAGACCTGCTTAAAACAGTCACTATATCTTTTCAACCAGGTCTCGGCCAGAAGTTTAGACAACCTTCTGGAACAGGGATTGACTTCTTGATGTTTGATGAAACAACATTGACAGAGGGGGGTGATACACAAGTTTATCCTCTCATTGTGAAGGCTGAGGCTTGCCCATCAGACCATGGTGGATCAGAAGCAAATCCATCTGGGAATTCTCAGATTACTATGGCAGTGTTCGAAAAGAGAGAGAAAGCTGAATACCAAGTCAGGGTGATTAAGCAAATCTTGTGGGTGAACAGAGTGAGGTATGAGCTTCAGGAAATTTACGGAATTGGGAATACTGTTTCCAGTGAAGCTGATGAAAGTGATTCCGGAAAAGATTGTGTCATCTGCCTGTCAGAACCACGTGACACAACTGTCCTCCCATGCCGACACATGGTATGTATAGAAACTTATTCTATTTTCCTCCCTTTTTTTTATTCTTTTTTGGTGTGATTGGAAAACAAGGCAATACTCTGTCTTACTGGTTGCATCATAGACATCAAAGTGGAAGGGTTAAGAACATAACTTTTTGTGTTTCATGTTGATCGTGTGTAAACTTAAATTTTCTTTATCTTAGTCACATATTTACAATTATATGCATGTATATCTAGCATAGCACACCACTTTGTTGAGAAAATTGAAGAGATTTTTACTTCTTGAGTAAGTTGAGCGTTCTCCTATTTCATAGTTGGTTTTTAGTTATATTTAGGTGTATGCCATATCTACTAGATGATGTTATGTGTCCTATTTAAGCTGCTTCGAAAGGGCATTAGAATTTGTTTGCAGTATTTATTTTGTTTGATCATCAGGCTTGAAGTATGGCGACTTTAAAAATATTTCAAATTTTTTTTAGACTTGAATTTTCATCACCAAGGAACTTTAGCATGATGATTAGTAATGATGTTCACAGAGCTGGAAATTGTGAGTTCAAATCCTCTGAAGACACTCCTCGCCTATGTTTTTAAGTTGGAGTATTCTGTAATAGGCCATGTTTACGGTGTGGTAGATTGTAAATGTTTATGCCCCACTAACCCTCAAATGTCCTGGCTCAGGATCAACTTAGTCATGTGAATTGTTCTGTACTTTGTGATTGCCTGATTCAAAAAGAGAAGCATCTGTGCTGTTTAAGTGTCTATAATTAACAGTTTCGGTAAAGTTTCTTATGAAGAAATGAATATACCGAGATAGTTTATTCTATAAATGTTGGATCAAACTGATGGAGGGAGCATAAAAAATCAGTTTGTGAGGTTTTAAAGCCCATCTAATGATGTTTGTTAACCATGTGGGTCATTTCCAAACTTTTTCTTATCAAACTTCGTCCTCGTTCCTATAGATTTGTTATGTAAATTGGCTATTTAAAAGTTTTACTTGATGATTATGTTTTGTTTGTTCTATTGTTGTGCAGTGTATGTGCAGTGGGTGTGCCAAGGTTCTGCAGTTCCAATCAAACCGGTGTCCTATTTGTAGGCAACCGGTTGATAGGCTTTTAGAAATTAAGGTGAACAATGGACCTGATGATTGAGGACAGTCTGCTGCTGCCAGAAGAATATTGCTTTTTATTTACTCTGGTTTATCAGGAGTAATTTTATATACAGGAGGTTAAATGTGGAGTGCGGATACAATGTCATGGGTTTAACTCTAATGCATTGCTGGCTATCTTCGGTGTTGTCCCAGAAATAGTCACAAATGAATTCTCATGTAAATATATAGTCAACATATTTGTTTGATAAGTGCTTCAATTGTAGAAGTTGTTCTCTCATGATAAGTTTAAAGATTTCTGTTTCAACTCACCTACTTATGCACTCTGTTTGCAAAAAAGATGATTCTCTAGCTTATCCCTCTATCAAAAATTAACACACAAGTTCATAGTGATTAAATTTTTATCTTGCAAAAGCATTGGTCTTATAATATAGTTTATGGTTAATTCATTTAATCTAAGTTTATTTTCATTATCTTATTATCCATTTGTATTTTTAATGGATATAGTGCAGCCAAATGCTGAAGGCATGAAAACATAATAATGTAAACAGGCAACTATTTTAGCAATTAATTAAATTGAGTGTATATTTAACCTCTATTAGTGTACAGAATTTGTAATATTCCATTGCAAGGCTACCTTTTTTTACCAAGTACAAAAGAAACGACATGACATTCTTTCATAATTTGAGTATCTGCTCCGTCGTTCGTGTCCATTTCCGAAAGATGACATGTCGGTCCGCCTATTCGTCATTCGTCACTATTTAAATAGACTACCTGCTTTAACTTAAGGTCTTTGAATCCAAACAGTTAAACCCCTAACCAGAAGCATATCACTGACAGTTTCCAACTTCTAAGTAACTAACTCAATGGCATCTTCTCCTACTGAAACCCTAAGCCTCGACCCTCCAATCAACGGTCATGATTCAACCAATCCAAATCAACCGGACCACAATGCTGATGACGAAATCCAACCGTCCGTTCCGCTGTCAACGGACGGTGACCACCCCAACCCAGCCGAGAAACGTAAAAGAGAGGAGGACCCACTACAAAATTCAGAGCCGGACCCTTCACTTAACCCGTTATGGAAAACCAGTCTCTGCTCCTACTTCAGGACCCACTCGGGCCATTGCCGCCATGGAAGCGCTTGTAGGTATGCTCACGGCGAGGAGGAGCTCAGGCCCCGACCCGACAACACTTGGGACCCCACTTCGCAGCGTGCCAAGAGGGCAAAGCAATCGGAGAATGGCGAGAAATGCGAAGTGAAGGAAAAGGTGGAGGATGTTATGATGACGGAGGTGGTTGTCGACGGTGACGGTGACGGCGGTGACGGTGAGGATAGTGAGCTTAGTAAATGTTTGGTTCATTTACCAAGGAAATGGAGTTCTGATAATTTGAAGAAGTTTCTTGCTGAGCATGTAAGTAAAGTTAGGAGTTAAGTCAACATTATATTGTACTAAACGGAAGATAACTTAAAAAGAAACCGTGAAATTTATTCTAGAAAATGTTAGTGAAATTTTAAAGCTTGTGAAACAATGAATCCTATCATATAAAGTAAAACTTGTAATACGAGAACCTAACATTTATAAAATATTAGGAGTATGAGGTTTGGTAACATGAACTTGAATTACAATTTTTATATGTTATTGTGAAAAGTAATTGTTCTTTTAGTAGTTTTATATTCTCGTGTTCTTAAAAAAGGGAAAAAAATTATTACTTTGGCTTTTTTATGTTTTGTACCCGGCCTTTGAAATGAGGGATCCAAGTGGTTAGTGATTATTGAAAGATTGAAATTATTAGTAGAGACAAACCCAAGCATAAGTTTGTCTTTGAATTTCCCATATCAATGTAGTTTTTGGAAGCTTATTTGTATTAAGGTTGGAACATTTAGGTATCCATATAGCAAAAAAATTGCGTTAGAGTTTGTTTAACCAACATAAAAGAAATAAAAAAGAACAGGAAAAGAAGATAAAAGCATCAATGTAGCAGAATCTGGTTGATGATATCTGCAAGAAGAGTTTAAGGTTGGGGCAGGAGACATCTTGATATTTCTCGTGTTACAGAATTTTAAACTTATGCAACTTTATAAGTATTTATGTGAAGTTATCATAATGGAAGGAAATCATACTTCTAAAATTTGTCTGTCTCTTAGTTTATTTATCTTTTTGACTTATAACTTAGTTGCTATTGTTTTGATTATATCTTAGGCCACAATATGGGTAGTTTTACAGAAATATACAAGATACTGGAAAATTATGTGACTTGGCCAGTGTTATTTTCTTTTCCTGTGTTGCTCTGTCTATTGAAACCATTTGGTGTGAGATATACAAGTCTTAGTACAACATTACCTTTTTCATAGCAAATGTTTCTTCTGCCAGGAAATTCTCTTTAAATCTGCAAAGAAGAAAAAGGGCATGACTGTGGGTTTTGTGAATTTTGGAAGTACAGAACAATTGAGCAGTTCAATGGAGGTATCCCTTGTTTTATATAGTTTATAGTTACTGCTTTTAAAACTTGCATTGCTTTTTTTTCACTGGTATATGGGAATTTTAATGTGGCAGAAGCTGGAAGGAATATCTGTTGGCAACAAGAATCTAAAGGTTGCGAATGTCATTCCTCGATCATTTGAGAAGAAGGTCAAATCGGCAATGGCTCACCCACAAAACACCCAGCAAACTGATGAGCCTGTGTTGGTTGGAGAGATTGATGGGGTCTCTCCATCTTCAAATAGGATAGAAGATGGTAATACCAACACTGACAGTTCAGCTGTAGATGGTTCAGTCTCAAGGGCTAGAAGTGCTCGAGATGTTGTGACACCCTTGGCACACATGCCCTACAGTGATCAGTTGGAACACAAAAGGAACTCGATTGCACAGATGCTGAAAAAACTTGTTAGAAATGCTGACTCCTGTGTTATTTTTCTCTATCATTTTTGGCAGTACAATTTTAAAGCAATCTGAACTTTGATAAATTTTGTGGACAGACTAGAAATGCTCGTAAAGCATGTCCAAATGGTGTTTCACTTCCACAATGGATAATCAAATCTAGGGAGATAGGTAGTGTCTTTACCTTTATGAGGACTTTCCAAAATATTCATGTTAAGAATGCTTGTAATGCTTATGTTTGTCCTTTCTCTATCTTAAATCCTGCAGGCGGTCTTCCTTGCCAACTAGAGGGTATACTTGAGTCACCACTTGTGAATGGATACCGTAACAAATGTGAGTTTTCAGTTGGATATTCTCTCCAAGGCAAGCCAACCGTGGGATTCATGCTTGGAAACTTTAGGTAGTCAGCATTATCCTTTATTTTTGCTGTTGTTAGGAGGGCACTTCTTGGTATTAGAACAGTCTTACAAAGTATAAGAGACTTTCAGGGAAGGTGTGACAGCAGTTGAAGAACCTGTGGACTGTCCAAATGTTTCTACAATTGCTTGCAAATATGCTTCAGTCTTCCAGGAATTTCTGCAGCATTCAGACTTACCAATTTGGAACAGATTTAAAAATATTGGATTCTGGCGCCAGTTAACAGTATGTATAGCTAAAAGTGACTGTTTAGTTGCCATCAGTTGTGTACTATAGGATTCTTGATTGGGTTTGTTCAGTATGCTGTTTTAATGAACCTAAAATTTCAGTTGATCTCCCATTTTGACATTCTCTATGTTGATGTCTTTTAAGGTTCGAGAAGGAAGAACTCCACGAAAGCCAACTGATGCTGAAAATTTAGATGCCAACACTTCAGAGGTCATGCTAATAGTTCAGGTTTGTGTCAAATAAAGTAAAAGACAACTTAAATGAACTTTGTTTCACATGAACCATTTCTTTTTTGGAATTTTCTGCAGTATGTTGCAAAAGAATGAACAAAGAAACCTAAATTGGCTCAAGCTGGTGTGTTTTGGTTGATATAGGGTGCATTTTGCTTTTTTTTTTTTTTTTTTTTTTCTTGAATTGGAGTAGTTCTAATGATGTATTCACCTTTACCTTTTGGGCTCAGATTCATTTTTTCTTAATATTGATCACATAGGTTTGCTCAACGGGTGTTGATGATTCAGTAGTAAACCGTGAATTTGAGAAGCTAGCTCAAGCATTTGCAGCAGGAGCCACTGCAACCTCACCATCTTTACCGTTGACAGCATTGGTTGTGCAGGTATGAGGTCCTTTTGGTGATTTAATGTTGTAATTGGGATAGCTAATATTTCTGTATCTAAGTAAAGATATTGAACAATGATATAAGGAAAGATCTTCCCCTCCCTCTGTCTCTGTTGCTACTTTTAATATGTTCTCAATTTTGTTTGGCTAATAATAATAGATCTAACAGAACATTAGTCATTAATGTTTTTGTATAATCAATATAAATTATGTCTCTAGTTTCTTATACCTTGTTTCTATATTGATACATGCTATAAATATATGAAAGTCCTCAGGTGGGAACTCTAAGTTTGGACATTTCAGTTTTTTAACTATAAATTTACTTAGGCTTGCACTCGTAATAGATTTACTTGTACAAGAATCATCGAGTCTGGATGTTTTTGCCCATTCACTGCATTAATGGTATATTAGAAGATTTGTTCCTCAGGAATAGTATCTAAAACTAGAGACCCAAAAGCTACTGTAGGAAATAACATACAATACTACAATGTTTTACTTTGCTAAAATTTGGAATGCAGAACTCCATGATTTTAGAATGTGTGATCAGGATGGAATGGCTATATGGACAAGGAGAAAAGAATGTTTAGTACTTGGTGCCTTAAAGTCATGATGCCTCTTGTACAAGCCAATGAAATTTGCCACGTATAATATTATGAATTTATAGATTGTACAGAGTCTGCTTCTTTGGCCCCTTAAACGCCAGTGGCTTAATATGGTGCTCTCCAAGTTTTTGATGAACAATATGCTTTCTTTATATTAGCTTCCTTTTTTATGGTGACTTTGTTTTCATATAGGATCATCAAGGGATATCAAATGTAGCTCCAGCTGATGCTTCATTGCGCCAACTAACAATTCCAAAATCAGAAAGCGGCACCGAGCTGGAGGGAACTAACGATGTTGTGGAGGCAAGAATCCACGATTGTATTAGCAATCTCCGGTTTTGTATATCCCCAACAGCTTTTTTCCAGGTGAGACTTCAGATTGCTGTTCTGCTCAATTCAATAATTTCTGCAACTGAAGCTGGATAAATTGTGTGCGCAAATGGTTTTTGTTGGTATATAATAGAAACTGAAAGAAAAGTATAAATAAAATTAACTATGTACTGCAGGTTAATACCTTAGCTGCAGAGAAACTGTATTCGCTTGCTGGGGATTGGGCTGATTTGGGTCCTGATACCTTGTTATTTGATGTATGCTGTGGTACTGGAACAATTGGGCTCACGTTAGCACATCGTGTTGGTATGGTAATAGTCGGCTACCTAGTTCTTGCCTTCTCTTTTATTTGTGATCTTATTATTGGTTGACACTTCCAAGTGTAGAATACCCTACGTAACATGGTTTTGGATAACAGATAAATATGTATAAGACAATTATGCAGTTGAGGTTTTTGAAACAGTAAATAAGTAGTAGTATAATGCCCTTTGGACTTATATATTAATGAAATAATGCTATCTCTTTTATGCTTTTTCAAATAATTGGACCTGTTCTGACTTTGATTCTCCAGGTTATCGGCATTGAAATGAATGCTTCTGCAGTGTCAGATGCTCATCGGAACGCTGAAATTAATGGCATAAAAAACTGTAAATTTGTCTGTGCAAAGGTGTGGTTTTGATTTTTTGACTCCTTTTTTTTTCTTTTTTGAAATAGTGAATCATGACTAGCGTTATTTGTATTAACTCACGAGGAAAACAAATTTTCATCTGTTGACATTGGAAAATGATATTTAATTTTGATTAATTTGTTATTATCATTTAACATTTGTTAGATTTATCACAGTTACTAGAAGGCAAATTTATCTCTTGTTTATTTGTATGACTAACAGGCTGAGGATGTGATGGGATCTTTATTAAGAGAGTATCTAAATGTGCCTCAGAAACAAGATGAGCATGCATTTGAGAGCAATGACAAAGAAACTGCTACAACTGAAGAGAATGATTCCTCCGTAGATAACGTTCTACACAGTGAAGGGAGCTCAGGCCATGAGCCTGAAAATGGTGTTAGCCCTTCTGAGTGTTCAGAAAGTGGTGGAAAAGAACCTCAAAACCAAGTCCAGAAGAGTTGTACTTCAGAAGATGAAAATTCCTTTGTGCAGCAGTTTAAAAATGTTGTTGCTATTGTTGATCCTCCACGTGGTGGACTTCATCCAACTGTAAGTAACATGCTCCTATTTTTAGTTCACATGTACATATACATGCGCATTTTAACCATTTTCCATTACTTTTGCTCCAACCAAAGGACCCTTCTTACTAACTTGTCATGAAAAAGAAAAATTGAAGAAAAACACTTGACCATTTATCAGGTTATAGTTTGGAGAATATTGGGGTGGTGGTTAGTGTCCAACCTATTTGTAAAAAAAAAAAAAAAAAAAGGTTCTATCCTGTGTCTAATGAAACATTTCTGTATTCTATGTGATTTACTTTGTGATGAAGTTGGCATTATGATCTCAATCTATATTTATTCTCCAAAGATGGATATAGATATCAGCAGACACCAATAGCAAGTCAGCTTGGTCAACCACCATGCTGTGATGCTTTTGTTCACTTTTTGCTTATGTTCAGTACAGAACTTGTGCTATGGATGTTTCCCTTTCCCTGTCATTCTTGTAGTTGTAGTGCATCAAAATTACAGTGTGGAAGTGGTCATAGAAAACACCGTTGTGTTTGCAATTTACTGCTCTTCTTTCTTATGTTTTTGTTTTATGGTGAAGATGCCTTGGATAATATGTATCTTGTTGAATGCTACTAAAAGGTTTTGCTTTCTATCTCCTAAAATTAAAAACCTTCAAAAATTTAAACACCATAGCTGTCGTTAACAGGGGTTGAACATGAGAAGGTTTATAATTTGGACTAAAATCTTAAAATTAATTCTTTGATGGGGCACCTCGGTCTTCGCTCTTCACTACTCATATACAAGAATCCATGTGATGTGTCTTTCAAAATGTGACTTGCTACTGCTAATTCTAGTTTCCGTTTTCGGGAGAATGCAGGTGATTAAAGCTTTGAGGACACATCCACATCTGCGGAGGCTTGTGTTAGTAAACTATTATACTTGGGATATTCCTCGTTATATATATGTATATACTCTTTCTTTGTACAATCTTATAATTTATACTGTTTCTTTTTCCACAGTTACATATCCTGCAATCCTGAAACCTTAGTGGCAAATGCTATTGAATTGTGCACACCATCTCCAGAAAAGGTTGAGAAAGGAAATAAAGACAACAGGGGATGGAGGAACATGAGCAGTGCAGGATTGGCACGGCATCGAGCCAAATCTATGCCCGTATCAGAGCCTTTCCAACCTGTAAAAGCCATGGCTGTCGATCTTTTCCCACATACTTCTCACTGCGAGATGGTGATGCTCTTGGAGAGGTAGATTGATCATGACAGAAGATTCTACAATTATTTTACAATTATTCCATGTAGACTAACACCAACTACAATTTTGGCCAAAGATTTGTTATGTTAATTTATTAAACAATGAAAAATTTTGGTAGTTACATCTTGACTTTCTTTCTCTCTTCCTGACCGTTTTATTTAGGTTCATTTGTCATAATGAAATGCTAAAGTCAGTGGTATGAATTCCTCTATTTTTATTGCACAACTAGGAAATAAAGCAAATTACATATCTATTCAATATAAAGGAAAACATGTGTTTACACATCATGGCAGATTCCAAGGAAGTTCATGTTTGGATTTGTTGCCTGATCTTGAACCCAACACCAAAAGATTTTCAGTGGCCAACGCTATCACAAACCTGCTGGAGGGTGAGTTGGCACCTCTTTTGACTGTCTTGTTATCTCAAGAGCTAATGGTTTCTGAGAGAGAGAGAGATCTTATTGCACTTCAAACATCACTCCACTCCACCTTATTACTTTTTCTACCCACTTCCAATTTCAAGGATAGGATTAGTTTTGGCATAAATGTCCCTCCTTCATTTGCAGACACCTTATTTAATCTCATTTCTTAATTTTTCTTTCTCTGGACTTTGTAAACTATTACCAAGTTGCTGATTTCTATATTATCTTTTTCGACTTGCAAGTACCTTTCATTCAAAATGTATCTATTTAATTGTTATAAACTAATTTAAACTAGCTTTCATTTCAAATTATTATGTGGGTGTGAAGTGACGCTTAAGATAATATGAGTACTTTGTTAAAGAAATCTGATGGCTAACTTTGTTTGCTCAACTTTTGCACCATAAAGCCAATACAGAATCCTTCTTCTTTTATGATCTACACTCAAAAACTGAACACTTTTTAGTGAAGAGACTGGCATCTTTAATACAATAATTTCATCAAATAAGTACATCAAACTTCATACACACACAAATACAGGTAAGACCATTAAGCCAAAACAATCAAATCCCATTATTGAGGAGATAACCATTTTATACGAAGAAGTGGCCATACTTTTGTTAGGTTCATATCTTTTTCCACAAAAATACAATAACTAATCAAACCCAGACTCACCACTCCAATTTTTTTGCTCCCCTTTCAAACTTGCTCAAAACTTTAAAACTCTCAATTCATATTCTTTCTGTCTCTGCCTCTCTTCTTGATTTCTTTTTGTTTTTCTTTTCTTTTCTTTTCTTTTGCTTTATCTTCTTTTTAACTACTTGGTTTTTTTACAGGTATGGCCTTATCTGGTTTGGTAGACTGGTACTGATGTAGACTGATGAATCTAACCATTTTGGAATTCTGGGGTCATTGCTCATCTTTAAGTGTTTTAATTTCCAGAACAAATAATAATTATATAGTCTAAGTGGGATTTCCATTTCTTTTTATGTTTTTGTCTGGTTTATCAGCCATGGCACTCCAAAATCCCACTATTTGTCAGTTGTTATCTTTATGATAACAACATAAATCCTCCCGGTAAGACTGGAAAAAAATATAATCCATGCTTTGCTTTTCTGAAATTGACTGCAGTCTTCCACTTTAATTTAAACAGTGCAGGAGGCTTTCTTCTATTTTAAATTTATTACCCATTTAGTGGGATGATCTCATTCCAACAGTAACACCAACAGTTGTAAACTTAGCTGCCATTAACATAATCTTTCTCAAAAGCAATTCATTTTCTTAGTAAAAAAAAAATCCATGAACCCCATAAAGAAATTAAAAGTACATCAATTATAAAAAGGGTTAGAAACACTGTGTATAGTGAATATACACAATGAAACAATCATTCATGAGATGGTGATGTAATCTAACAAAATAATTGTAAATTACACCCTTTTCAAATCAACTTTTCTCAGCTTTGATTTGTTTAATTTCCTCCATACATTTGAGAGTTTATTGAAGAAATTAGTGGTGTCATTGTATTATTCATATATGGCCATGTCTGCTCAACTCCACCACCACATCCATGTGTTGCAGATAGGACTGTAAATCATACCCTTTTTTTCTCCTTTGAAATTATTAATTATTCTATCTTCGATTATGTTATTTAGTATAACTAAGATGATATGATTTTTAAATCTTAATCCAGGGTGAGTGAAGAAGAAAAGAAATGAGACAGAGACAGAGACAGGTTGTAATTGATTATAGTCCAAGGCTTTTTGGCAATAAAAAGTTTGCCTTCTCTTCAAACGAGGAGTTGTAATAAGCATGTTTTATGAAAAGCAAAGTATAAAAGTAAGGCTTCTAATATCAACCTTTACACATTAAGTTAAACTATTCATGGCGGCCTGGACCTTGAATTTGATTGATTGTTTACAAATGAGTAAACGACTTTTTCCCACCCAAGGTTTGCCTAAATTACACTGTCCCACCCAAAACACTTCAAAATACCATTTTATCACCCAAAGCTTATATTTCGTTAATACCCAAAATACATTTCACTTTCTCAGCTGATGTTTGACTAGTTATCAAGAGCCAGGGTAAGAGAGGTTTTGTAGAGTGGAGGGCGATAGATCGAATGGTGGTGACTGATTGAATATTCGCGACTGGAATCAGCTGAAAACCAGCTAAAAATAGGAAACTCTAGCTTTGCAGTGACCTGCAATCGATGAGAAATCAGGTGTTGGAGTAAGAGAAGTTTTGTAGAGAGGATACCAAAGATTCAAATGGTGGTGACAAAGAGAATTTTTGCTATTAGAATTAGTTGGAATTGACTTTGAGTAGTAACAGAATATTAAGTTTGGATGGGTGGTATTTTGAAATTTATTCGGTGAGAAAGTATCATTGAGGCAAACCTTGGGTGGGAACAAGTTGTTTACTTTTCAAATCACATATCAATTAACAATAAAATATTGAACATATCATACCCTTAGGCATATACTATCAAGTGTCAAGATTGGCATATACTATCAAGTGTCAAGATTTTTGTTGTCGAATCTTGACTACTTGTTTCTTTTATTATTTAAATATGCAACTCCAAACCCTACTTCCAACCTCATAAAATTAGGCTTACTGATATTTTCACCCCAATCTATCACAAAAACAATCTCCCCTCCCTGGTTTTAGAATTGGAAAAATAGGATAACATTGGGTGTTTCCAAAACCAAGGGGGGAAAGTGTATTTCGGGATAGATTGGGGGAACAAAAAGATTTTTATTAAATTTTTAATTTTATGCTTCGTAACAAATCAAGTTTTGGATTAACAATAATTAGGACAGATGTAAGATATGTTTTAAAAATCATTTCATATTATTTTTATGCCTTAACCAATGGCAGCACTAAAAAGATGGTCCCGTTAAGCTCAAATCCCTTTGTTTAAGGATACAATGAACTCTTCAAATCCAATGAAGCGGGATACGATATAATTAGTATCATAATTACAACTTAATTATAATTAATCATTTTCCACCATCACGCTTTACTTAAGTCTTCATTTTTTCGGGAGATGGAATTCATATGATAATTTTAAATAGAGTAAACGACATATTAAGTACACGGAAATGGCAAGTTTCCACGCCTCATTTCATAAATTCTATATTCACAATCACACCATTAAATTAATATTGTTTCATTTTTTTTAACAGTTAAAAATTAAAATGATCATTTATTATATTTTAATATTTCCATTTTTGCAAAAATATCTCTCTCACCCGCCACCTAACCAACACCACCACACCCTCTTGTTCCTGGCAAGCCAATGGTAGCGCCACCACCTAGCCTCTGCCGCTGCCCACCAAACTTCATACCTAGAAATCAAAACACCCCAGATCCAATAATTAAAACAATTCGAGAATCAAACAACACACAACTCAAATCAATCCAAACTTATAAAACTCAAAATACATGTTAATAATTGATTGGATCTATAGGCAGAGGGTCAACAATGACCCTTGGTTGGGACAATTTATCGAGCAAGTGGGAGGTATTTGTGCAAGCTCGGGTGTTGGTTGTAAGGAGACCGGTCGGGTTGCCAATGTTAAGGGAAGCTATACAAACAAATCACACTACCAAACATAAATCAAATTCAACCGAACTCTGATTCAATCACACAACCAACTCAATCAAACTCCTATTCAATAAAAAATCAAAGCAACACAATTGCGAGTGGCGTGAGACAGGCGGTTGAGCGGCAGGGTTCGATTGGTAGGCTTGATGATGGCGATGTGCGACAACTCTGGGTTTGTTAGGTCGCTACATGGAGTTGCGACACGACATAGAGAAAACTATTGGATGACGGGTGGTGCGACTAGAAGGTGTTGGGGTTTTGGTGGGGATGGTGAGGGGAAGCAATTGGTGGTGTCAGGGGGTAGCCAAGTGGTTGTGCACTAGTTGGAGGAAAGAGCCACGCACGGAAGGCGGGAGGACAATTTGGTAATAGCATATGAGGGGAGATAAAGAAGAAAAAGATGAGAGGACAGTGTGATAATAACACGCATCTGTGTCAGAACCCAACAATCATTAATATTATTATTTTAAGAGTGAGAATATGAAATTTATGAAACCAAAGATAAGAACTTATCATTTTGCTAAACCTTGGGTGAGAACACAGACGTTTACTCTTTTAAGTACACTATAAAGTAAGTTAGGTCGCTGCATGGAGTTGCGACACAACATAGAGAAAACTATTGGGTGACGGGTGGTGCGACTAGAAGGTGTCGGGGTTTTGGTAGGGATGGTGAGGGGAAGCAATTGGTGGTGTCAGGTGGGGTAGTCAATGTCAGGGGCTAGCCAAGTGGTCGTGCACTAGTTGGAGGAAAGAGTCACGCACGGAAGGCGAGAGGACAATTTGGTAATAGCAGATGAGGGGAGGTAAAGAAGAAAAAGACGAGAGGACAGTGTGATAATAACACCCTTTGCATCTATGTCAAAACCTAATAATCATTAATATTATTATTTTAGAGGTGAGAATATAAAATTTATGAAACCAAAGATAAGAACTTATCATTTTGCTAAACCTTGGGTGAGAACACAGACGTTTACTCTTTTAAGTACACTATAAAGTAAGTTAGGTCGCTGCATGGAGTTGCGACACAACATAGAGAAAACTATTGGGTGACGGGTGGTGCGACCAGAAGGTGTCGGGGTTTTGGTGGGGATGGTGAGGGGAAGCAATTGGTGGTGTCAGGTGGGGTAGTCAATGTTAGGGGCTGGCCAAGTGGTCGTGCACTAGTTGGAGGAAAGAACCACGCACGGAAGGTGGGAGGACAATTTGGTAATAGCAGATGAGGGGAGATAAAGAAGAAAAAGATAAGAGGACAGTGTGATAATAACACCCTCTGCATCTGTATCAGAATCCAACAATCATTAATATTATTATTTTAAGGGTGAGAATATAAAATTTATGAAACCAAATATAAGAACTTATCATTTTGCTAAACCTTGGGTGGGAAGACTACGTTTACCCTTTTGAGTACACTATAAAGTAAGCCATTGGCCATGAATTATGGTAGATGGTATTGATGGATTGATTTGAGTGGTGTATTCTCTAAGCATGCGCCACGTAATCTCTATTTTTATTAATTTTTAATCAAATTGCGTAACCAATTGAAGTTTCTACAAAACTCCCACCTGCCTCGACCTCACCCTTTTTATTTGGATCCATATTGCATTCATTTCATGTCTCCTTAAAACAATATTTTTGGTGTGAAATTTTGAGATGATAGAGGGTTGTTTTGTGGAGTAATCAACGAAGCAAAAACATTTCCATAAGTTTCAAATACAAAAGAATTAAGTTTTTGGATAGGTAATGTATAACATACATCTATGCTCCCTCTAAAAAGAGATAAAAGAGATATAAGTCTGTATTATGTATAATTTTATTGATTATACATCAATTCAAATCGATATAGAAGTTAAAATAGTAAGTGAAATGAAATAATATTTTTTAAAAGATGATTATGGCAAAGGTAGAATATGAGATTAATTGAAGATACAATAATAATAATTATAATAATAAGAGTAAACGACATTTTCTCACCCAAGGTTTGGCGAATCTGCAAGTTCTCACCCCTGGTTTCATAAATTGTAGAGTCTCACTCTTAAATTAACGTTGTTATTTTCTCTATATCTCAAATTTCTCTCAAATAACCCCTAGAGGATCTCGGCTAAGCCAAGAATCCGACACCATTGGACCTCCCCGACACCACCATCAACATCCCCTTATCCTCCTCACCAAAACCTCCAACTTTTCCACCCAATTGCACATCGACGAGGTGTTGGAATTTGGCTGGAAATGGGCGAAAAAATACAAAAACCTAAGGGAGAGGCGGCGGCGATCGGCGGGCAATTGCAGTCGACGATGTTGGGGGTTTTGGTGGGGGGAAGCCGAATATGCTATTGGTGGTCTTGGGGGTGGTTTTCGGTGTCAGGACTTGCCAGAATTTGGATGAAACGCTGATTGACACTAAAAGCGACGACCGACGATTAGGGTATTCAATTAGGCGGGGAGGTTAGGGGTTTTGATGTAGGGGTTGAGGAGATTGTAATAATGGTGTCAGGAGGGGTCGATTGTGCCGGAAACAGGCCGGAATGACCTGAAATTGCCAGTGGGGTGAATTAGAGAAGTGAAGAGTTATTTTAAAATTTTTCAAAGGGGTGAATTTGAGAAGTGAAGGGTTATTTTGAAATTTTTATCTTTAAAATAACCATTTTACCCTTTTAACTGTTTTTAAATAGTTATCTGTTAATTCAAGGGTAAAAATTGCAATTTATGAAATTAGGGTTGGGAACGGAGATTCGCCAAACCTTGGGTGGGAAAATGTTGTTTACTCTAATAATAATAATACAAAGGAGAGTCCGCGCGCACCGGGGGAAGGTGGGGGGGTGGGAGTAGGGACAGTCACAGAGGTTGCTACCACCTTTTGCCATAAATGAGATTTGAGTTGAGAGAGAATCATTTTTATTAACTCTTCTATCTTCTTCTTCCACCTGTCATCTCTGCCCTTTACCCTTCATCTCACACACTTACCAAGAAAACACCTTTAACTCTCCCTCTCTGTTTTATTTCAGCTTCCTCTTGCCCCTTCTTTTTTGCTTCAAAACTTTTCTTCTTCTTCTTCTTCTTCTTCTTCTTTTTTGGTTTTGTCTTGGGGTTTCAGCTTCTGGGTTCTTGTTTCTTTTCTCACTTTTTATGAGAAAATGGAAACTAAAGAGGACAAGCCTGTGTCTGAGGAGCCTCATGAGGCTGCTGCTGCTTCAACCCAAAATGTAACTGTTAGTCCAGGTCGCAAGGTGCATGCTTTATGCTTTCTTGCTTTGTTCTCATATACTTTTTGTTTGAGTCCATGTATGGAAAAAATTTCGAACTTTTGATTTTTTTCTTTAATTGGGTTGTTTCCGGTTTCTAAACTCTGTTTTAACAATAATTGATCTCAATAAACTATTTTTCTTTTCAAAATTTCAGATTAATATATATGAAACCAGTATTTGGAATTATTAATCGTTACTTACAATAATTCAGCGCTGAACTCAGTCAGAAATCACAAATCTAATGTACAAGAAATGAGAAATAGATTACAGTTCAATGAAAATTTTTGTTGATGCTTATCAACAGTATCTTATATCTAATACACAAATATCAATAAGGAACTGGTATGCCCCTGATCATAAATTAGGGGGATGGACAGGACCAATCTCCAGATGTTAACTTCAGTTAATTGAAACCAAGGATTTATGAGCACAATTGGCAGCTTTTATTAGTATCGAACGAGTAGGTGGTTTTGTTTAACATTACATGGCAGATTTTTGGTCATGAACAACTCTAACAAAAGTTTTAGAGAAAGTTATTATGTATATATAGCTGCAAGTAATTACTTTCATCAGTTCATCTGTCGGTTGTAGGACTCTTTTATGTCTAACAAGATTTGTGGTTGAAATTCTTTCCCTCCCTCAATAAAGTCAAGAGGAAAAGGCTAGCAGGGCTCTGGGTATTAGAATGTCAAATATATAATTTCCTTTATTCTATTATTTTTTTCTCTTCTATTATTTTTATTATTTTTTTGTTTTATTCTTTTTAGCAAAAGAAAATACCTCAGTACATCCCATAGTTATGTTGCAATTTTGTGGAACCGCCTAATTGTGTTTGTTATTTTACATATAATTTTTCGGATATATGTTCCTTCTTATTATGCACTTAAGACATTTTTCACTGGTGTCTTATAATTATTTTTTATCTTTTCAAACGTTAGATTTTGCATATTTTAGTGCCGAATTGAGATCAAACGGCATGATTCTCTCCTTTTATAAATTATATTATCATGCAGTTGCTGGTTTGACTTTGGAGGCCTATTTAGTTGGTATTAAAGGTGTCGAGGAAGATTATTGAATATTGATCTTAGAAACTCCATTCTTATCTCGTTATGTGTTTCCACATGTGTGCGCTTCATCTTTATGATATAAAATTTGTAGCCTCAACGGAGAAACCAGAAAGAATTTGTTGCTCGTTTCTCAAAGCTCGGAAGGATTCTAAATTAGTGAATTCACAGAATCACTAGGAGAACAGTTAGGCTAGTAGGAGTTGATGGAAAAAGTACTATAGAGAGAAATAAATGTTTTTTTTGTTTTTTGTTTTGGTATATTCTACTGCTCATTTTATATTACTCATTGCTGTTTCTCAGCTTGAAGATTCAATGGGAATAATTGAAGAAAACTCTCATTCTCAAAATTGGAAGCGAAGAAATCTCTTCTTAGAAATACCATCAAGATCACTAGAAGACTCCTCACAGGAATCTGTCATAATTAAGATGCCCCCAACACCTGGTTCCACTCCAACTCCCAGGAGAGTAAATTTCAACTTGAATCCTGCAGATGCAAGAACTAGTGGTTCCCCTGGCCCTTCCTTATCCAGAGCCAAATCTTCCTTAAAAGGTCTCTTACCAAAACTAAGTTTCAAGTATCGAAGTTCTAACTCAGATATCGAAAAGGCTGCCAACCTAGTTCCAGAAACTTCCAATACGGCGCCACGAGAGAAGCCTTCCATCTCAAGGTCATTGTCACTAACAAAGATATTTACTCCCAGGATGAAGAGAACGTCGTCATTGCCTGTAACATCAATCATGCATACAAACCTGGAACCCACATGCAGTGGAAATGTTGTTGATTCTCTAAATTCAAATGTAAGTTTCCAAACATCATTGTTTTGAAACATGAATGCCTTATTTAATTAATTAATAAGCAGAATGGACTTTTTGACAGTGCTTGGTGGCAACAGTGGGGATATAGCCTGCGTGAATTGAATTTGTTGAGTTTTCTTTTTGTTGTTCAGAACAGAGGAGCTTAATTACTTGTTGTCATTCCTTTATGTAGCATTGATGTTGACTGGGCCATCAGAACTTTATGTAGACATGAATTCTTTGAAATTTACATGGAATTGAAGTTTCCTTTCTGATTTTGTCCTCTTCTCTGATTTTCATTCTTTGCCCAGTATTAACTTGAGGATCTTATTTTACAAAGATTTCAGTATGGTTTGCTTCAACTTTGTAGTCTTTTTGGCAGAGAAAAGGAACCCAGAAGCAAATATATCGTTCGCTTTCAGTTCCTGTCAATAACAAAGAAGGGAGCATAAGGAGAATGGATTCATTTTTCCGAGTAATTCCTGCAACTCCTCGAGTAAAGGAACGAGAGGTAGTGTCAGATACATCTCAGATAGTAGAAGCGGGTAACTTTTCCTTTGTAATTATTGGATTGATTCTGTATAACATAAATTCAGGTTGAAGATTCAATGCGAATAATTTTAATTCGTAAAAAGACGAGGAAATCGATTTAAATTTATATGGTTCTTCATACATTTTATTTCTCTATCTCAGTTCTCTTAGCATCCACGCAGAGTTATACGACGCAGAGTTATATGCCTATTTAGCTGGGGCTTTGCACTCATAGTTTTCCCTCCTCCTCTAGTTTGTAGAACCTGTGAATTGTGATTGCCAGCAATGCCTTATAATATTCTCGTATTTGCAGAAAATAGTAGTGATGCTGATGGTGAAGACATACCCGAAGAAGAAGCTGTTTGTAGAATTTGTATGGTTGAACTGTGTGAAGGGGGTGAAACCCTCAAGATGGAATGCAGCTGCAAAGGGGAACTTGCTCTGGCACACAAAGAATGTGCCATAAAATGGTTTACCATTAAAGGTAACAAGACATGTGATGTGTGCAAGCAAGAGGTTCAGAATCTACCTGTCACTCTCTTACGAATTCAAAGCATGCGAACTCGAAATGGTGGAGCAGACAGGGGCCAGCTGGCAGATCTCAATGGATACAGGTAAATGATTTTTTTTAATATTTTTATGCTTGATAAATAACATGTGATTGCTGAAATGTTGTGGTTATAAGTTGATTTGCTGCTATTTGTCTGTATGGTTGATATAATGGTTTTGATCATGAAGATATGATCTCACAACTTAAGACCACACTTGTCCCACAATGAGTCCTTTTTTCTCTCCACAGCCCTTGTCACAGTTTTGTCCTAACCAACCAACTTTCCACTGGATCATTTCACCGTCTTTGATAATTGCTACTGCTACTTCAGTTATTGACTGGAATGAATGTCTGGACTCTCGGGTCAACGAATTTACTGCTTCTCATTTCAAATGACATAAACTAACCTCTAAAATTCCATGCTGACTAGTGATTCTTCTCATACTTATGATATAAACTCGTAAATAGAATCTACCAAACCTGAGTGCTAAATTCTGACTTTGGTCAAGACAAAGTGTCATCTATTAGGATTCCCCTGGGTTTCTGTTGATTCTCATCCACCATTTAGTAATTATTATGTCTTGCTTCTTACACTATTAAGATCAATGATTCTCACTTTGAGTTCCATTCGATATTAAATCCCAGTCTAAATTCTGTCAAAAAGTGGTATCTCTATTGATTTTTATCATCTACAATATATATTATCATAATATGATCTTAATTACCAGAAGAAACAAAAAAAAAATGCATTGGATCTTATTTGTTCAAATCTTATCATCAGGGTTTGGCAGGAAGTTCCTGTGCTCGTTATTGTCAGCATGCTTGCCTATTTTTGTTTTCTTGAGCAGCTTCTGGTAAGCTAAATAGTTCCTCATTTAAATATGTAGATTCGCCATTACATTGTCTTGGTAATATATCTCTTTCCAATTGCATGCAGGTTGCCAAAATGGGTACTGGTGCCATTGCAATATCCCTTCCATTCTCTTGTGTATTGGGTCTCCTCTCATCCATGACCTCATCAACCATGGGTAGGTTTGCAAAAGAAACCAGTGATATAATATTAGAACATTGAATATTTCGTAAAGATACTATTTGAATGTCTTGAACTGGAGTATGAGCAAAAGTGCCGAGTGGTGCATGTTTTTGTTGAAAAACATCACCATTTGGTTATTATACCATTCAAATATGCTAGGCTAGTAATCAATCTACTCACATGTAACAGTAAAAGGCTAGCTTCTTTTGCAACTACAACCAATTACTTTTATCTCAGGTTTCTTTATTACGTTACTGTAGTAGGGATCCTGGGAGATTGTATCTGATGTTTTCTGATTCAACCCCTTCCCTTTGAACTTTGTTAACTAATTCATCAAAATTAAGGTGATTAGATTCTTTTAATTAACTAGTTAACATTGTTCATAATCAACAAATTATTTGTATCTGAAAATTTCTGATTCAACCCCTTAAACTTTGTGTAGTGAAGAGAAGATTTGTCTGGGTCTACGCATCAATTCAATTCGCTCTGGTTGTTCTATTTGCTCACATATTTTATTCTTTGGTAAGACGCCTGTACTTAAGTTATTTATTTACTTGATGATGTAAACGAGATTCTCTTCAACTTGGTCAATGCACCTACTCTTTTGGCTTAGGTGTTCAACCTGACAGAATTGGATTATGGTAGGTCTTAGATCCGCATTAGACTGAACCCTAACAAAAGAAATGAAAATTTTCAGGTGGTTTAGGATTGTTGTATAATTTCATCGGAGATTATAGGATTCTACAAGCTTTGTAGGATGCTAACTATCATTCCATTGACTGAGCTTTCTCTACATGAAACGTTTTGTCATTTGCCAATCCTATCGTCCAGTTGTTTTTAAGTTTTAGCTTGTTTACATATCCCACAGTCGCCACTAGTACATTCCCCCATTTCCTAAAAATGCTTGCCATCATATTACTAAATTACAGCCCTTTTGGCCCTATTTTTCTTGTTCAAATTGTGAATGACTCATTCCTCTCTTTCTTTGGTATACATCCAATCTCTTCTCTTTAGTAATGCTTTTATTTATTTATTATTATTTTATTTATTTGGTTTGGCTTTGTGCTTTACAGGTTCAGGTGCAAGCAGTTCTGTCAGTTCTCCTTGCAACATTTGCCGGGTTTGGAGTAGCCATGAGTGGGAGTTCTATTATTGTTGAGTTCTTGAGATGGAGAAGAAGCTGGGAAGCTCAGTCACATCATAATTCCCAAGTGATGGGTAGACCAGGCCAATTCCCATATTCACCACGGACGGTTTCTCGTGACCGCCGCCAGCCTGACATAGAAAATCCGGGAACTTTCACTGGGAGTTAAATCATTAATTATTTAGTATAGCTAATCAGAAAAGGGTCTGCCTTAAATTATGTTGTGTCTAAGATAAGAATTTTTGTGTTGTAATATAATGCCATATATAGAGTCTTGCAATTTTCTCTTTTGCCTCATGATAGAAGCATCCATACTTAACCAAAATGCCTTCCCTACCAACTGATTCTTGTGTCAAGATTTTAATCCAGGAATTGTGCATCTTTTGGTTGGCCCTTTTGATTAAGCTGAGTTTGGATGCACTGACGAGCTGCGAAGATACAAACTCACAGGCAAAATTAATATTTTAGAGTACAAATATAAAAACCAATTAACCACCAAGGGTGGCCTAATAGTAAAAAAGCGAAGAAAGTTTTAACATGGTTTTTCAAATTTGAGTTATTTTGATAGTAAAAGAGTAAGAAGATGATTTAATATATGGTGTTCTAAGTTCGAGTTTCCTTGAAGTTAAATAGCAAAAGGAGAATCTAATATGATCTTTCAAGTTTAAGTAATCTTGAGGGAGCAAGAGGAGGATCTAACATGGTTTTCTAAGTTTGAGTTCATACAGTTGCTAATAAGGATAGTTACAAGAGCTCGTATTCAATCGGTAGTTCTAGGGTTCTGGAAGATTAGTTGAGGTGCGCATCTTGAGAATAAAAGAGTAAGAGGAGGATCTAACATGGTTTTCCGAGTTCAAGTTCCCACAGTTGCTAATAGGGATGACCACTAGAGCTCGTATCCAATTGATAATTCCAGGGTTTCGAGAGATTAGTTGAAATACCCGTAAGTTGAAACTAGTTTTTATTAAACACACTATTCAAATTTAACAAAGAATGCCTTCAAATATAACATAGCAGATAGGCAAAATATTTGAAACATGCTACTCAAAATGACTTAATCTCATTCATGTGTTAAAACTAATAGAATATTTGAATGAAATTTTGGATGAATTTTCCACTTTCTCATTCATATGTTACATTAATAAAATTCAATTATATATACACAGTACACTCCCTCCGTTTGTAATGCATATTATTAATTTTTTTTATTATTTTAAAAATAGATAATGCGCTGCAGACTTCACCTAGATAATACATGGACTTTTTATACAAAAATATCATCACTTAAATAGAAGAATTTTAATATGAGGATAATTGTTTAAGCTGACTAGGGCATAAACAGAACAAACGGTCACAGCTTCCATAAGAAAGAGAAGCAGAGTAGTATAATATGAATGTATCAAGATCAACAAGACTCGTGGAGAAGCTTCCTCTTCTTCACCATCGTGTTCCTCTCATAGGTGCTCTTTAATCACAATCGTTAGTCTCCCTCCTCCCTCTCTCACTCTCATTTTATACTTTCAATTGTTCTTCTCTGTTCTTTCTGCACTCAACTCTACTCAAACAGTTTCTGTTTACTTGTTTTAGAATCTTTTAAGCATTCTTTGCTTCGACTCACAATCCTAAGACAAATTTTTTATTATTTTTTATTATTTTTTTATTATTATTATTATTTTTTTTTTTTACGCATATGTATAAGTGAATTGGTTTATATGTATTATATTTATTGCATTTTCAGGCGTGCCCAAGTTTGGGTTTGCGTCGTTCTTGCACTTGAATACTAGATTAGCAGGGTTTCCAAAGAAAATGGCTTGGAGTTTGGATAATTGTTCAGTGAATGCTGAAAATAAATTGGGTCTGGTTCGCCCTGCAACCGAAGCACAGGCTGAAGAGGCAGTTGAAGCTCTGAAAGCTGGCAAGGTTATTGCAGTGCCCACTGACACCCTCTATGGATTCGCTTGTGATGCTTGGTACGCCATTTTTGTGGATTTCCCTTTACATTTCTTGTCATTCTTATTTAATATTGAAAACTTCTGAAACATGGATTCAATGTGAATTTGCTTGTGTATTGAATATTGCGTAGAAAATTGTTGAAGAGTTGTTGAGGTTATATATAATGAAGAATAATTTGTAGAAGCAATTAGTAACTTTGATCAAATGGGGATTGGTGATGCTCTGGAAGTTGTTATGAACTGATTTACAGGGTCATATGTAATCATCATTTAATTGCAATCTTTGACATTCAAATAATTATTTATTGGACCTCATTTCTTGCACAACCTTGTGGAGTCTCATATCTTGATTGTAGAATTAGAAACTCTGCCTAGGTTTAATAGATTGGTGTCCATATTAAACCCTTTTATGGGATTTATTGGTGCATGAGTATGGGGATTTAGATGGTAGGTTGTATCTATTATCTATGTACTTTAGACCCAGGAGGGGCTAAATCAATATCCTTAGGTAGGGTGCATTTTGTTCAAAGTTTTGAAAATTAGGCGGGTTTTATTTTGGTATCTGTAATTTTTGTATTACGACATTGCTAACTTTTGCTGTACTTTCATGGGATTATAATTACAGTTCTTTGGAAGCAGTCAATCGGATTTATGAGATTAAAGGGCGTAAACATACCAGCCCTCTTGCTATCTGTGTTGGTGATGTTTCAGACATCAAGCGCTTTGCTGTCACGGACCATTTGCCTCATGGCTTACTTGATTCTCTCCTTCCTGGACCTGTTACAGTTGTACTAACACGAGGTCTGTAACTCATATGTGTATCTTTGCTGAAAATGAATGAAAATTGGTACTTGAGTAAGTAATATATGTGGTTGATAGAGACCATGTTAAGATGAGGCCATGAATTGGGCTTCCTCTATGTGCATAGTTGCTATTTGTCTGTTTGTGCTTCTGCTATTAAATTCTTGAATTTTTCTGTGGTATAAAAGTTGATATCTGGGTATCTTGTAGGGGAGTCAAGTATTCTTGAGAAGTCTTTGAACCCCGGATTGGACAGTATCGGTGTCCGAGTGCCTGACTCTAACTTCATCAGGGTTATTGCCCGTGGTTCAGAAAGTGCTATGGCTCTCACAAGTGCCAATCTAAGTGGACAGCCAAGTAGTGTTTGCATAAAAGATTTTGAGAACCTATGGGAACACTGTGCATATGTTTATGATGGTGGTGTGCTTCCATCAGGCCGTGCAGGATCAACAGTAGTGGACCTTACCAGACTAGGAAAGTACAAGATTCTTAGACCTGGAAGGTAAGCATCCAAATGAATAGGATGTATTTTTCATAACTTAAATGCCTATGTCAAAGGAATAATAAAATAGAAGTGGGTATATTAAAGTCATGAAATCGATGATGGTGCAGCCCAGTGGCAAATTTCATTAAATAGTAGACGAGTTGTATAAGCACCTTAATAACATACTATGATGGAATTTTGAATGAATCTTGACATGTGCTAAAACTATAAAACTACTGCTATATTTTCCTTGTTTTTTAACTTGTTTAGGAAGATACTTGTCCATATAGTTAAAGACCTCAATCTAGGTCTTTATTTGCATTAAGCTGGATGCATGTTTGTTTTTATGTGAAATATATGGTTCTCTAGGTGCTTCTTTTTAAGTTCAAATCTTACCGATCCATAAAACACAAACACACACATGGTGATGCTCTCTATGCCCATGGCATGAAAGAAATAATGTTCCTGATTTGTTTTTATTATTTTGAAGTTTGTTTTTGGTATGTGGACTCAATTAACAGCTACTTAAGCTGCGTTAGGCTTTTACAGGAACTACTAAATAATGCAGTATTGCTCAGTAGAAAAATCTGAATAGGCCATATACTTCTCTTTTTCAGGACTCTTCTTTTGGTTTTGGTGTGTAAGTTGATAGTATCGTAGACTTGAACTATAATTAGTAGCTTAACCGATGGAAATGCTTTGCTTGGCTTCATTTGTCCCTAAATCCGTTAGTGTTTACTCTCCATGTTTTTCCTTGTTTTTCCAGTGCAAAGGAAGAGACAGTTGCCATCCTTGAAAGGCATTCTCTAGGAGAAGAGCTGGGAGCAAGTTAAAGAAGTAATTGAAACAATCTGGTATTTTTTTAGAATTACATATTGATTGCTTGGGGAATAGTTTCTGCTTGATGTCACAGAAACTGGCACTATGACCTTCTCATTGTATTTTAATAAACCAAAATATATTCTTGAGATGTCAGTAGAGGTTTTTACTGAACTGATATCTGTCATGTATCCAGAATAGAGAATTGAGTTATTTCAGTTGATCACACGTAATTCAAAATGAGTTCGTGTACGTATTTGCAAGTAAATCATGAATTCTTTGCCATATATATTTTTTTTGGGAGAAAATTTTTATGGCATATTGTTAATCATGAACTTTTTTCTTGTAGTTTCTGAATGTTGTTTGACAGACTTTACTGTTTGATTGGAATCTGTCGGGTATAGAATTTAACTACACTTCTTTGTTATGGGAAGTTAGAAAAACAAAATTTGGGAAGGATAGGTGTTGGGTTTAACCCTTTTTAAGAATAGCTTTTCAATAAAATCCGGAAAGAAAAAGTGTGGGAAAGAGTGTGGAAGGCCAGAAACCTTATTTATTTATTTTTATAGTTGTTGACTCTAAAATAGTTTGTGATATGAAATGAAAGAAGTTTTTATATACACCAATCACGTACAAAGAACGTTTTTTTAACTAGGTTTTGGTTTCCACAAACTGCCGATGTCATTTCTTGTTAAATAAGCTTACCACACAACCTTTGTCAAATGAAATCTTAAGGGTGTGTTTGGTAGGGTATTCTGAGTGGTATTTTTGAAAAGTTGAGTTGGATTATTATTAGAAGAATATGATTTGAAAATTAACAAAACACCTCTTACATTTGTTAATTTAGCTAAACACCATCTACAATAAAACATTGAAAATTAACAAAAACATCCACACTCATCCATTAAATGTCGGCAGTTGGCCACAACGCTTGAGAGTGGACGGAAGTCGTCGGAATAGCGCACGACTAACTGAATCTGGTCGGTCGTGATCCCATCTGGCCTTTTCCGGCTAGATCTATAGCGAAAGATCTGGTTGTTGATGACCAGATGTGGCTAAAGATCTGACCTTTTTTGGTCAGATCCATAGATCCACCATGGATTTGGCCAAAAAAGGTTATATTGGCACACGACAGCCACATTTAGTAAGTCGTGCGCCATTCAGGTAGACATGTGGGTGGGTGACGGTGTTTTTATCAATTTATAAACTTTTATTCTTGAGGGTGTTTAGTTAAATTAACAAACCTAGAGGGTTACAAAACTATATATTTTGAATTAAATAGAATATGATTGGATTTTGAGATTATTGAAACAAATACGTATTTTTTGTAGAATAGAATAAGAATAGTGAAACAAAAACACCCTTAAATGTTCTGTTTCTAATGATGTGTCATTTTATACATTGTTGATATATTGCTTATTACTTCAGCTCTTGATTTATCACGTTCCCGTAAGACTGACATACCATCTTTTTTTTAGGTAACTAATAACTTTATAAAGAATAATGAATTGACAATTCAAAGGGGAAACCCCAAACAAAACAATCCTAAAGGTAAAGGACACAAAAGAGAACCAAGGAGCAAAAAGCAATCCTTTACAATTTGAAACAACGCAGCTAGGAACCAATCCTAAACACAGCACTACACATCCTAGGCCAGTAATACCAACCAAGAGATATGCCTGAACAAAAAATCAGCGCAAAACAGCAACCAAAACACACACCAGCAGCACCTAAAACCCACAACCAGCAGCACCCAAACCAAACCAGCAGTCAGCAGCCAACCCCCAGCCAAAACAAACAAAACCAGCAGCCAGCAAGGTTTTCATTCAACACACCATTTGAAATGTAAAATCTGATTATCATATAAGAAATATTGTTCATTTTGTCTTGGGTCAGTTTTGGGTGTAGCTTTCATCTTTGTAAATTGCAGCATAGGTGATGACATCTAAAAGGACAGAAATGTAAATAAAAAATTATATGACGGTAGAGGAAACATTAAATTAGGTGTCCAAAAATGAATTATAAACGTTATGATAGTTGAAAAAAAGATTGACAGGTTTTTTGCTAGTCAAGTCAAGGCGAGGGCCCTTTATGTCTGCTTCTGTCTTCTGAACTGAAAAAACGTTTAAAACGAACAGTCTAATTAATATTCTAATTTAATTTAATCCCATGTGTTTTGTGATGTGTTGTATATGAATTCAATTGAAAAATCATACCATCTTTCCCAACTGTCACTTCCCTTGATGTGTACGTATTAACCGCACCGTCTTCGATTTTCATCTTTTACTTTCAGTTTTCCAACTTCTTAACTAATTACATATTTTTAAGCTATGAATTAATGAAATAAAAAAACGTGCTAATAACGATTCACATAACTCACGTGTAAAGCCTTTATATGGTTATGGATTTATGTCATATGTACAGTTTATTCTGTCAATACAATATATTTCGTTGTTATTTAACGTTAAATGATGGTAAGAACGCGGATATTTCAAGCACCAATCAGAGTCGGAGAGTGAGAAAGAAGCGCGTGGGGATGGATTAGATTAGGAATGGTGGACGGTTGTTGGTCGCGTTCCCGCGGTGGAATATTATTATTAAAACGTTCGTTAAGGATTCCTATAATTCATGGGACTCTTGTGTAATAGTCCACTTTGTTGTGTTTCTCGTGTAGTTTAACTTCTTTTTTTACATTGAAGCCCTCGTAAGAGGGTAATATTACACTTATATCTTAATTTTACAAACTTTTTCTCACAACTTTGACGAGACAATTGCAATTGGTTAGCTCGCGAATGAGTCTTGTTTGCTCGCTATGAGTCCCACCTACCTGATTGTAAGCTAATCAATTATAAATTATCATGTCGAAGTTATGAGATAAAATTTATAAGATTAAGTTGTGAAATGTAAATCAATCTTTATCCCTTGTAAAATGCCCTAACTAAACTCAAAACTCATTTATTATAAGTTAGACAAGAGGATTATTTTTTAATGCCTCATATATATATATATATATATATACTGAAAATATTTTAATTCATTTGCTGATGACGAACCTATTTTTAACATTATAGAAATATGTCAAAGTTAGAAGGTATTATGCTTAAATAGAATGATAATATAGCAACAATTTGAATTATTTACAAATTAAATATTTAAATTACATTTAATAGAAAGTGCAATGACATAAATGTAAAAAAATTTATCACACTTAAATATTATGCCATTTTTTTTCAGATGGTTAGACTTAGAGTGTTCATCTCCATGGAAAATTATATAAATGATTTTAGTTTGATGTTCTATTTGTGATTGTTTAAAATTATTTCTTTATTTTCTAAATTAAAATAACATAAACATGTTTCGCATTTTAAAGTAAATCTTCCCAACCGTTTTGCCGTAATGGAGATAGATATTAACTTAATTAATCATCTCAAATTTTAGATTATTCTAACTTCTAAGAAACAACGCCACACCAATAAGGTAGAGCATTACAAAAGAAAATAACTAAAATCAGGGACCAAGATAAAAATTAAAAAGAAATAGGGGACAAAAGGAAATATCATCATATTTATAATTAATTTCAGCCCTTTTTCATGGCCACAGATGCAATGCAAAGATGCTAAAAAAACGTTTTTGTCTGGATTCACATCCATTTTCAAGAAAATTTTTAAATAAATTGAACCTAATATTTCTGTAAATTATTGCAAACAAATCCCTCTCAAAATCTTCCCACCACCAGTTCGTCTCTTTCCTCTCTAGACTCTTCGCTTCACCCAATCAGAATCATCACTCCTTTTCTTTATTTAAGGTAATTTACAACCTCTGTTGCTTATCGGTTTTGTGAAATCAGGATTGCTCTGAACAGTGTTTTCCTGTTTCTGTTACAAGGTTCCGACTCATTATTACTGAGGTGCTGATTTTGTGAATGCTTGTGGAATTGGTGTTAGGATCAGTAGCTGTTTGATTGCTGAGAAAATTTTGGAAGTAGGACGGAAAATTGATGATAGTGACTTTTAACTGAACTTAAGTAATTGGCCGAGTTTTGATTTAGTTGAATTCCAAAATCGTTNAAAGTTAGAAGGTATTATGCTTAAATAGAATGATAATATAGCAACAATTTGAATTATTTACAAATTAAATATTTAAATTACATTTAATAGAAAGTGCAATGACATAAATGTAAAAAAATTTATCACACTTAAATATTATGCCATTTTTTTTCAGATGGTTAGACTTAGAGTGTTCATCTCCATGGAAAATTATATAAATGATTTTAGTTTGATGTTCTATTTGTGATTGTTTAAAATTATTTCTTTATTTTCTAAATTAAAATAACATAAACATGTTTCGCATTTTAAAGTAAATCTTCCCAACCGTTTTGCCGTAATGGAGATAGATATTAACTTAATTAATCATCTCAAATTTTAGATTATTCTAACTTCTAAGAAACAACGCCACACCAATAAGGTAGAGCATTACAAAAGAAAATAACTAAAATCAGGGACCAAGATAAAAATTAAAAAGAAATAGGGGACAAAAGGAAATATCATCATATTTATAATTAATTTCAGCCCTTTTTCATGGCCACAGATGCAATGCAAAGATGCTAAAAAAACGTTTTTGTCTGGATTCACATCCATTTTCAAGAAAATTTTTAAATAAATTGAACCTAATATTTCTGTAAATTATTGCAAACAAATCCCTCTCAAAATCTTCCCACCACCAGTTCGTCTCTTTCCTCTCTAGACTCTTCGCTTCACCCAATCAGAATCATCACTCCTTTTCTTTATTTAAGGTAATTTACAACCTCTGTTGCTTATCGGTTTTGTGAAATCAGGATTGCTCTGAACAGTGTTTTCCTGTTTCTGTTACAAGGTTCCGACTCATTATTACTGAGGTGCTGATTTTGTGAATGCTTGTGGAATTGGTGTTAGGATCAGTAGCTGTTTGATTGCTGAGAAAATTTTGGAAGTAGGACGGAAAATTGATGATAGTGACTTTTAACTGAACTTAAGTAATTGGCCGAGTTTTGATTTAGTTGAATTCCAAAATCGTTTTTATTTTATTTTTTTTTAATTATTTCGAGCAATTTCCAGGTAATTTTGGTCTTAGGAAAGTTATGCAAGCAGTTTTGAATGCTTTGCAGTGACTTGAGTGAAGTAGATACATGCACGAGGCTTAATTTAGTGGAACTTTCATTATATTATTGAAGTTTTGATCACTGGTCTTATATTTAACTAATTGTGTTGACGTTGAATTTGTGTTTTGGGA